ACGGGCACAAGCATTCTTATGCTTGTATAGACATAAACTCTGGAAGGATACACAATATTTCTTCTGAGATTCTTCTGATACACCGATTTCTTCTTAGATGGGTGAGTGGAGGGCCAACATACTTTCTGTTACAAAAAATGTTTTTTAATATTTGTATCAAATACCTTAAAATACAATGTGATATATAAGCATTTGGCCATACATTGTTGCTGTAATAGCTTATATTTGGTGAGTTTTTTGTGTACATGCTTTGGTATTTGTGCTTTTGAATTTGATGGGTCTGTCAGTTGGCGTTTGGACCTAGGAATAAGTAAAGGAGCAGTATTGTACTTTTAGGGTAGAGTGGATACTGGTAGAAGTTTCAGGTAACAGTTGAAAAAGCTGAATATCGTTTTAAAAAAGAATATTAAAAAATATAGAGTATTAAGGGAGAACCAAGATGGCGGCATAGGTTAACGCCGGAGTTTGCTGCTTTGAACAACTACTTCAAAAGTGAAACCAAAAAACGGAAGGGACATCACCCAGAACCACAGGAACGCTGGCTGAGTGGGAGTCCTACAACTAGGAGGAAAGAGAAACGCATACGGACACTCAGAGGAGGCGCAGTGCTGAAGTCAAATTCTGAGGTGCGGAGCGGGCTGGCGGCGGAGGGCGTGGTTGGTGTTTTCAATCGGGAGGGAGTCGCAGAATCTGAGCTCCAGATCCGGGCGAGTCTTTAGGGACCCAGACTCAAACGGGAGAAGCGGGACTGTCTGGCTTCGGTCAGAGCGAGTGCAGCTTTCTCTCTGAGCTTTGCAGCGGGTGCTGGGACTCAGAGAGGCAGAGCCCCTGGGGACAGGACTGAGAGCCGCCATAACTGCTCTCTCTGGCCCACCCTGTTGATCCTGTGCGACCCGCCCCGCCCAAGCCCTGCACACAGGCATTTGCCGGATAGCCTCAGGCAAACGCCAGATTAGCACCTCCCTAGGGGACAGAAGTTCTCTCACTGCTGACACAGCTGATTCTCATAGCCACTTGGCCTGGAGGTCAAACCCTCCCTGGAATTAGCTACAACAATCAAGATTTAACTATAAGACTGCGAACAAAGACCACTAGGGGGTGCACCAAGGAAGCATAACAAAATGCGGAGACAAAGAAACAGGACAAAATTGTCAATGGAAGATATAGAGTTCAGAACCACACTTTTAAGGTCTCTCAAGAACTGTTTAGAAGCCGCCGATAAACTTAATGAGATCTACAAGAAAACTAATAAGACCCTCGATCTTATATTGGGGAACCAACTAGAAATTAAGCATACACGGACTGAAATAACGAATATTATACAGACTCCCGACAGCAGACCAGCGGAGCGCAAGAATCAAGTCAATGATTTGAAATGCGAGCAAGCAAAAAACACCCAACCGGAAAAGCAAAATGAAAAAAGAATCCAAAAATGCGAGGATAGTGTAAGGAGCCTCTGGGACAGCTTCAAGCGTACCAACATCAGAATTATAGGGGTGCCAGAAGATGAGAGAGAGCAAGATATTGAAAACCTATTTGAAGAAATAATGACAGAAAACTTCCCCCACCTGGTGAAAGAAATGGACTTACAGGTCCAAGAAGCGCGGAGAACCCCAAACAAAAGGAATCCAAAGAGGACCACACCAAGACACATCATAATTAAAATGCCAAGAGCAAAAGATAAAGAGAGAATCTTAAAAACAGCAAGAGAAAGAAACTCAGTTACCTACAAGGGAATACCCATACGACTGTCAGCTGATTTCTCAACAGAAACTTTGCAGGCCAGAAGGGAGTGGCAAGAAATATTCAAAGTGATGAATACCAAGAACCTACAACCAAGATTACTTTATCCAGCAAAGCTATCATTCAGAATTGAAGGTCAGATAAAGAGCTTCACAGATAAGGAAAAGCTAAAGGAGTTCATCACCACCAAACCAGGATTATATGAAAAGCTGAAAGGTATCCTTTAAGAAGAGGAAGAGGAAGAAAAAGGTAAAGATACAAATTATGAACAACAAATATGCATCTATCAACAAGTGAATCTAAGAATCAAGTGAATAAATAATCTGATGAACAGAATGAACTGTTGATTATAATAGAATCAGGGACATAGAAAGGGAATGGACTGACTATTCCTGGGGGGGAAAGGGGTGTGGGAGATGCGGGAAGAGACTGGACAAAAATCGTGCACCTATGGATGAGGACAGTGGGTGGGGAGTGAGGGCGGAGGGTGGGGCGGGAACTGGGAGGAGGGGAGTTATGGGGGGGGAAAAAGAGGAACAAATGTAATAATCTGAACAATAAAGATTTAATTAAAAATAAAAAATAAAAAAAGAAAAAAAAATATAGAGTATTAAAATGGTTAGTATTAAAATGGTTTATTCTGCCTCAAAAAAGCAGAAGATCCAGAAAAGGAAAATTAAATGGAAACTTGAAAGCATTTTGGAATTATGAATGTGCATGGAAATGGGAAACAGAGAAGGGAGATGAAAGTCCCCAGGGAACTAAAACCATTTTATAAACATGATCGCATCTCTAAACTATACCCTTTTGTAAAAAGTTATTTTCCAGACTTTCAAAAACAAAGAAATTGATGCCTATGTAACATAAGAAAATAGCAAAATGAGGAATAGATCAATTATTCTGAGATCATTGAACCTTGATACAAATATAGCAACAAAAAACAAAGCAAACTTAAAAAAAATATGTTTTGAACTTGATGTGTAAAAGCATTTGTTTCCAAAGTAAGGTTTTGTTTTTCTGCATCCAGTCTTAGGAGATGAAGGTGGGAATAGACATTGAAAGAAAGCTTTTGCACATTACACTACCATTTCTTTTTATTATGAGTCATTCTGGTTCAGGAAAAGGAAGGATAATGAAAAAATTAACATTTGCAAAGCCTTTTACAGTTTTAAAAGCTTTTTTCACATATTATTTTCTTATTTTACAGTTGTTCCATGATACAGGTTGTGGTGATGTTTTGTTATTTTTATTAGTCTTTCACTGTTAAAGAAAAAATACGCCCAAGGAAAGTTGGGTAATTTGCCTGAGATAACATAGCTGATAAGTGTCAAAGCTGACCTTCACAAAATCGAACTCAGATTTATTTTTTTCTTTCTACCCAAGCATAAGCTCTTATGAGGTAGATTTACTTAGCTTTGTGGAAACCAATTTTGGGTGGGACAACAATCAAGAAAACATTTGGAAGCCTAAAACTTCAGAGCAGAGTGGTTCAATAAGTAAATGGTATTGGGGACAGATGAGGCTCTGACCCTCCTGAGTGCAGGTCCAGCTGATGTCCTTCTGTTCCTTTTTATATGAAGAGAGAAGGGGAGTATTGAGAAAGGATGATGACTGGATATAATACAATTTGATAAGAACTTGCCAGCATTAACCAAAGAATCCATCTCTTAAAAATTCTTAAAATCATTTCGAAGACTAATTTCATTTGATCCATTTAAAAATACATATGAAATTTGAGCAAACCAATTATATTAATGTCTAGCTTCTTGTCTACATACCTAGAATTATGGATTAAGATTGCTGACGCCACCTATATATATATATATATATATATATATAATTGGGTAGAAGAACATGTAGCTTTTCTTTCTTGCTCTAGGATTTTTGTGTTCTATTCATGTAAAATTGTATCTTGCCCTGGCTGGTTTGGCTCAGTGGATAGAGCGTTGGCCTGTGGACTGAAGGGCCCCGGGTTCGATTCCGGTCAAGGGCACATGCCCGGGTTGTGGGTTTGATCCCCAGTACAGGGCATGCAGGAAGCAGCTGATCAGTGATTCTCTCTCATCATTGATATTTTTGTCTCTCTCTCCCTCTCCCTTCTTTTCTGGGGGAAAAAGAAATTTTTTTTTTAAAGAAAAAAAGAACCCTGATCTCTTGTTGGGGTCCAACCCCAACAGGTCCAGGGGTCCCCAAAGGTGTGGACGGAGTCGGCGAAGAAGGAATGACACAGAGACAGCGTTCAGTTGATCAGCTGCCTAGCCAGGATCTCTAGCCAAGTTCTGGTCAGGATCTCCAGCGAAGTTCTGGTTAGGATCTCCAGCCAGGTTCTGTGTCCATGTTCTCTTGCTAGGTTCTCCAGCCAGGTTCTCCAGCCAGGTTCAGTCACCAGGTTCTAGTCAGGTTCTCTTGCCATGTTCTATCCAGGTTCTGTAGCCAGGTTCTGTCTCTAGGTTCTGTGTCCAGTTTCTGTCCAGGATCTTTTTGCCATGTTCTCTCCAGCGAAGTTCTTCTGTCTCTAGGTTCTGTGTAGGTTCTGTGTCTAGGTTCTGTGTCCTGTTGTCTTGTTACATCTGTATTTATACCAGTTGATTCCAATCCTATCAATCTCTATTCCAAAGGTTAGGGCGTTTCTTATCTCCATTCCAGGGAGTAAAGATTATGTAGCTTAAGGATGATTGTTCGTAGTTAAAGTGATTAATTACCCGCTTTGCACTTAGTTAAGGGGTTTTATTCCCTCCCTAACTTCAGGGGAAAAGCCCTGCCTGGGGAAACAACCTTTCTCAGAGAGGTGACTTTGGTTAAAACACATAGTGCCAAGAAGGTGAGCAAACATATTAAGAACAGTATGCCATATATGCCAGGTCCCTTGAAACAGCAAGGATGGACCGGCTCCTGGCAATCTCTGGGTTCAGAGGCTACGCTCAACCACTGTGCCATGTTAGCTGGGCTACAACCTGTAATCTTGAATCATTAGTTTATTGTGAAGAGTTGGATAGTTGCAACTAAAAATTCTTTTTCTCCTAGGAAGTTGCAGTAGGGAATATAGAGAAGGTTTGTAGGAGTTTTGGGTCTCAAACACATTGGTTACAGCAACTATATTGCCAGGATTTAATGTAGCCAATACAACTTAGGGCTCTTTATTTGTGGACATTTAGGATTACCTCTGTGTTATTTTATCCAGTAATATAGTGTAGTTGACTCTGTTGAAAGTCATGCCTTAAATATTGAAGTGCCTTTTTTTTCTTGTGTATTTGTAGTGGTAGCCGCTCCTCTAAAACATTTAAACCAAAGAAGAACATACCAGAGGGTTCTCATCAGTATGAGCTCTTAAAGCATGCAGAAGCCACACTTGGCAGTGGCAATCTCCGGATGGCTGTCATGCTTCCTGAGGGAGAAGATCTCAATGAGTGGGTTGCAGTGAACAGTAAGTAGCCTTTCTGTTTCGAAGAAGACTCTAAATTAGATTAGTAGCCTCATTATAGGTGAGTGTTGGGGTGCTGTCTATTCTGGAACCTAGTTAGCAACCTAATATCACAGTATAGTGATAGCTCAATCCACTTTAGCCTTTATGTTACCAGTATTTTATTCTCAATATAGAGTTTTCTAAAATTCTTGTTTCTGTTATAATGACATACAAAGCATAGATTTACCATCTTTAGTGGAAAAAAAATAATCACAGCAATTAATATTTATGAAACACTAATTATGTGTCTGGCACTCTGCTATCCTGTCTACATGGATTATTTTATTCATATTTGGAACCTCTTGATGTAGGTACTATTATTATCCCAATTTAAGACAAGGAAGCTGAGACAGAAAGATTAGTAATCTGCTTAGGTAATGCAGCTATTAAGTGGCAGACCCTGAGCTCTAATATACAGCTATAGAATTTTAGAGTCTGCACTTTAAGCACTCTGCTAAATTGCCTCTTTCAGTAGCATACTCAGTTATCTAAGTTAATGCTATTTTTTTTAAAAACAAGTCACTAGTGATTTGTGAAATTAATAAAATATATTTATGAGAGTCTTAGCACCAAGGAAGAAAAACATGTAAGTAAAAAGTAAATGTATTCTTGGAAATTAAGCCAGAGAAAGTTGGGGAATAAAAGTGGTACTTTTAATATTCAGGGTTTTTCAGCATTAGTGAAGAAACTATCAGAATTTAATAATTGGAGTAATTTATGTGAATCTAGCAAATAAAATGAAATTTAATTGAAAATATACACTATATGTCAAGGCTTTGATTAAGAAAAAACAAAACAATATTTTTCTTGTAATATGTGATGTTATTATAATTTGAAATATATCATTGGATTTATAAATTGAGCAGCTACCCACTAATAACTTTTAGAAATCTAAAGGATTTTATTACTGAGGTGTCTAAAAATGTTACTGTGACAGCATTTGCATACAAGTAGTATTTATTATAATGTGGTTATCTTCCTGGACCCAGAGGGTTTAGTTACTAAAGAAGTAAAGTGATTTTTGCTTTACTGGTCATCTTACCTATAAGATGGTTCTGTGACACTTCAAAATAATACACAGAATAAATTTCCAATTGATTATGTGCATTCTTTTTTTGTACTTGTTTGTGCCCTTTTTGTATCATTTACTTGAGTATCATTTACTTGATAACTCGCTTATTTTAAAAATCTAAGGAAGGCAGCATAGAGCTTCTGTACTACATGAGATTCTTACTTGTAAGTATAAAAACAGATCATCAATTTCTGTCTGTATTCTCTATCTCAATTGCCAGAACAGAGTGTCTGTACTACTGAAATGTCTAGAACTTCAGGAACTTTTAAAATTTCACAGGCATTTTGCAATTATAGCTAGACAAAAATTAATTTGAACTGGAGCTTCAGAGTGTCCCCTTAGGACAGAAATTCTGCCTTGAAAATACAGCATTTGACTGAAGTATTGGGTTTTAAAATTTTCCTTAATTTTAGTAATCTTCCCAAATGACTCTGGATGAAGAAAAGAGGATTTGAGACTAGATATTTCCACTCACTGACAATGGTTAAATAAACATTTTGGGTACATAAGAGAGTGAAGGGAATGTATTGATAAGATTGGTATATTAATGGCTTTTTGGCTTCAGTTCACCTGCCAGGTGAAGATAAATGGTCGAAGATGGGAAATCTTTACAAATTCAACAACTGGTCTCACAGCCAGAAACCAAAGCCTGCTTTTAAACATTCTGGTGCTAGAAAGAGTGGTAGCTTAAAGAAGACAGAAGGTTCAGGGTTCTGGAAAAAGCTGGATGGATGGCTTATAAATAATTTATGTGACACCAAATTCTGAGGTCATATATTAATTTGTGGAAGGAAATGAATATTTATTAATGCCCACTTAATGTTGGCCATATATTTTTTTAACTAGAGTCCCAGTGCATGAGATTCATGCACTGGTGGTGGTGGTGGTGGTGGGGGTGGGGGGGGTGAGGTGTCCCTCAGCCCAGCCTGCACCCTCTCCTATCTGGGACATCCCTCTCACAATCCAGGATGTGGGCTCCCAACTGCTCGCCTGACTGCCTGCCTGATTGCCCCTAACAGTTTCTCCCTGCCAGCCTGGTCAACATCTAACTGCTCCCCTGCCGGCCCGATGGCCCCCAACTGCCCTCCCCTGCAGGCCTGTTCCCCCCCCAACTGCCCTCCCCTACAGGCCTGATTGCCCCCTACTGGCCTCCCTGTGGGCCTGGTCACTCTCAATTGCCCTGCCCTGCAGGCCTGGTCCTCCCCCAAATGCCGTCCCTTGCTGGCCTGGTCGCCCCTAACTGCCCTCCCCTGCTGGCCTGATCGCTCACAACTGCCCTCCCCTGCCAGCCATCTTGTGGCCACATGGGGGTGGCTATCTTGTGTGAGGGTGTGATGGTCAATTTGCATATTACTGCTTTATTATATAGGATGCTCCATAATAAACCCAATTTTAAAGGTAGGGAACTGAGGTTCAGGGAGATTAAGTAACCCAACTGGAGTTGGGATTCAGACTTATCTTATTTCAAAGCTAAAAGTTGCCCTCTGTTCTTGTGGAGGACAACTTAAGAATTATTAAGTTGCAGAGTCATTACTTAGTAAATCTTGGCTCTTTATGAGGTAAGAGGGAAGAGAAGAACTTGTACAATTAAATTTCGTGTAATGTTCATTAATGTTCTACTTTCATAAGCAATTATGACTCCTTTTGAAGTCAGTTTTTTTCTTTGCTATAGAAAGTCTGAAATTAAAAAAGCAAAGTGCTGGTCATGGGTAATTAATGGGATGAAAAAGGTGATTTTAGGATTCTAAATAAAGAGGGAACAGGGGTTAGTTCAAAGTTACCATATGTAATATTTATCCTTGAATAGTGGATGCGGCAAAAGTAGGTTGAAACTAAAAAGTTAAACACTAATCTAAAGAAAGCTGATACAGTCATATTAATATCAGACAAAGTAGACTTTAAGGCAAAAAAACCCACCCCAAAACAATAAAGAGGAAGAGTTTAAAATGATAAATGGTTCACTTCACAAAGAATATATGGTGTTCTGAATTTATGTCTCTAATTATGTCTATAAAATAAAACTGCTGACTGAACAGAAGAAATAGACAAATCCACAGCCATAATGGGAGATTTAAACACTTTTATTAATGGATAGAATGAGGAGGGAAAAAAAATCAAGAGGGAATTAGAAAAATGTAAGCCATTTTTAATAGACTTGATTAATAGACTTGACCTGAGGGACACGTGGCCTAAGCACTTCAGATTACACATAGGTGCATTTAAAAAATTGAAATGATTGAAATGATATAACACAGTTTTTGACCATAGTGGAATTTAGCTAAAAATCACTAACAAAAGCTAGGAAATCTGTATATGTTTAGAAAGAACACTGATAAATCTAGGTTCTGCTTAGTAAAATTAAATATTTTACTTATAACTGATATTTGCTTTGCAGCTGTGGATTTTTTCAATCAGATCAACATGCTTTATGGAACAATCACAGATTTCTGTACAGAGGAAAGTTGTCCGGTGATGTCAGCTGGCCCAAAGTAAGATGTGGTTCATGATCAGTTCTCATTTTTACTTTATTTTATAGTTCATAGATAAGAAGATAGTTAATTTCTGTACTTAGCATCCCCTTCGCTGGCTTACCAATGAGTAATATAGTAAGTTCAGATTCCTTAGCCAGAACTTTATGACCCTTCCTGTATTGTCCTCCATCCTGCCTTTCTTCTGTTAACTTACACATCTCTTCTGGTCTATCTAGGCAAGATTACAGAAAATGCCTTGCTTGCTATTCCCTCTATTAGTTATACTCTGAAAACTTGTTCATTCCGTTCTTCTCTTAGATATTTTGCTTCTCATGTCCCTCTTATCTTCTGCTCACATTTCCAAAAATCTTACCCATCTTCAAGGCCCACATCAGGTACTTCCTTCTCCATGAAACCTTCTGATTTCTTCATACTAAATGTGATCTTTCTATTTAACTTTTTGGTCGTTACAATTTTATTTCTTTGTTACATTATGATTATATAGTGGCCCAGTGCATGGATTCATACACATTAAAAGGAAATTAATTAGAAGAAATATTTTAATATCACTATTCGCCTTTCTCTATAACAGAAGTGTCAGAGTTGAAAGAAAATTAGTAAAATCTATATGAAAATAATATATAAATTGATTAATAAATAATAACATGCTATAATAACAAATGATATAAAAACATGATATAAAAACAACAAAAACATTGATAAAAACAAGGACTGATAAATTGATTAAACATCTTCTAATATTTCCCTGTATATCACATGAAGAGTAAAAACACTTTCAGAGTGCTTGACTAATTTTCCTTGTGATGAAGTATTTACAACTTTAACATCACACGCTCTTCGAACTCAAGAGAAAGCAACATGTAACTGACTATGTCTGAAAACGGGTTCAGGTAGGAAGATTCCTACTCTGTCTACAGTTTGTCCTTGTGATTTATTAATAGTCATTGCAAATGCTGGCATCATGGGAAACTATCTTGAAATTAATATAAATGGGAGGCCAGATGGGGAAAAATCAATTCTTGGGATCATAACAATCTGCTCCTTCCACAGATCCTGTTAATACTTCAGCTTTGATTATGTTAGGTTGCAATCTTTTGATAATAAATCTGGTACCATTACAAAGACCCCATTTACTATTAAGATTTCTCAGTAGCATGATGATTGCACCTACTTTCAATTTTAATTTATGACATGGCATTCCCGAAGGAGTAATACTATTAAAATTCGATGGGAGCTTTATATGTATCCCGTATGTGCAAGTCAACGTTTATTTTTAAATTGCCAGTGCGTGTCATATGTACCTGTCGGTCGGTTGGTCGGCAGTCAGACAGATGTATGGTCAGTCACTTAGTCTTTTATATGTATAGATTATTTATACATGTCTTATTTAACCTGTCAGATTGGTTCTTCTTTTAAATCTCTTTTGATCAAGAATAGTCAGTGCCTGCCATCTAGTTACCACTCAATAAATGTTGCTTTGATAACTTTTTGAAACTGGATTTTATTATGACTATAGCTGACAATAACAATGCCAGCTACCATTTATTCAGTAATACCTAAATGTAAGGCCTTTATACAGCAAACCAATAAAGTAAGAAAACTATTGTTATCCTCATTTTACAGGAAAATAAATTGAGTCTGAGAAAAGTTAAGTAACATGTGCAAGGGTCCTGTTATCCAAAAACAGAACCAGGTCTCTGTCATCCAGGACTCTTTGACTCTAGTGTGACTGTACTCTTAATTGCTACATTGTGTTATCTATATATATAAAAGCCTAAGCAACCGTTACAACTGAATGACCAGAATGACTGGTCGACCAGTCGCTATGACGCACACTGACCACCAGGGGGCAGACGCTCAATGCAGGAGCTGCACCCTGGTGGTCAGTGCGCTCCCACATCCATCCTCCTGCGGCCCTCCAGCCTCCTGTGGTCCCTCCCACTGGCTGGCTGGTCCTGATCGGCCCCAATTGGGACTGGGCAAGACGTCCCGATCGGCCCTGATCACCAGCCAAGCAGAAGGACCCCACCCTTGCACGAATTCGTGCACCGGGCCCCTAGTTTTCTAATAAGAATATGAATTGATATTTATAAACTATATATAGAGAGGTTTTATTTTTAGTGCTGACTTTTTATAAAATATGTTCTTTCCCCCCAATTATAAACAAAGCATAAATATCAAAACAAAACAAGCTGTCCAAACTTACTAGTGTATAGAAATATTATTAGTAGTAGTAACCTTAGATTGCTAATCACTTGTTGTGCTAATGTTTTCATTGCTCAGAATATTTTTGCTAACTTTTAAATTACAGTGTCAGATCACTAGCTACCCAAGAGATTCAATTTTATTACTGCATAGCAATAATTTATTTATTGACCAAATTCATATATTGAACAAAGTATTACCTAGAGTGGTCTGCTTTCTTCCTCAAATTGACTCTAAATGAGTTTAGATGTTTCTTAGAAGCTAGTCCTTTAAAAAAAATTGACAATTTTGTCATGGTCAAACATGTTCAAAATAATATGCTTTGAATATTTCCTGTGGTAATTTTTTTGAAAAATAACTTATTTTCAAACTATTTCAGACTTTGAAACTTCAAATAATTTCAAATGTATAGAAAAGTTTCTAGAACATCACAAAGAACTCCCATATCTCTTTTATCCAGATTCCTCAGTTACTAACTTGCATGCTTCATTACTCCTCTCTATGTGTATAGTCATTAACATTAATTTTTTTCTGAATCTTTTGACTAAATTATAGACATTACGCTAATCCCTTTATGCCTATATATTCAACTGTGTATTTTCTAAAAGCAGGAATACTCTTCTATACAGCCAGCATATAAATTCTCTAAACCACTTCTTCCAGTTCATAGACACCATTCACATTTCACCAGCTATCTCAATAATATCTCAGTTTTTCATTTCTGCTCCAGGATCCTGTCTATGAATATGTATTGCATTTATTTGATGTATCTCTTTAGGTGCCTTCAATCTGGAATAGTTCCTCAGTCTTTCCCTGTACTAGTCTTTGTGCATAAAAGAGTGAATATAGCAGGCCTGACTGTAATCTCTTAAAAGGCCTAATTATCCTAATTACCTTATCATGTTAGTGTCTGCAAGGTTTTTTTCACCTCAAATTAGTCATTTTCTTCCCCTTTGTAACTGACTAGCATTTTATTGGGAGGTTTTCTGATATTACACCAATATCCCATTCCTGTAAATTAGGGAGAATTACTGCCACTTAGATTACAGCTCTAATCATTTTCCCACAGAAATCTTATCTACATAGCTGGTATAGGAACAATGTACCTAATTATTTAAAAGTAAGAGGTGCCCACCTACCTGGTTTCGCTCAGTGGATAGAGCGTTGGCTTGTGGACTAAAAGATCCTGGATTCAATTCTGGTCAAGGGCACATGCCCGGGTTGCCGCTCAATCCCCAGTAGGGGGCGAGCAGGAGGCAGCTGACCAGTGATTCTCATCATTGATATTTCTATGGCTCTCTCCCTTCCTCTCTGAAATCAATATATTAAAAAAAAAAAAAAAGAGCCAAAGGATCTCTATAAAGATGCTACAGAAATGAAAAATGATCTCCTTCCTTCCCTTCCTCCCTTCCTCCCTCCCTTCTTCCCTCTTCCCTCTTTTCCTTCTATCCTTAACCCCAAGTTGTAAAGAATTGTACTGCATAAGGAGAAATATTTTTGAAGAAAATAGCCATAAAAACGTTAAGGATGATCATCAGAGAAGTGGGAAGGAAGTAAGCTAGGTTTTCTATGACAATGTATGATTCTAAAATTTAAATTCTATATATATGAAAGAAAGTTGTATAATCAAATTAAAACATGGGAGGAAAGCATTGAAACACAAAAAAATGAGTTTACTGAAATCTGCTTAGTTTGTGTCATAATAAATGCAAAAGAGTACAGTAACCATTTGAAATCATTAAATTGAAATGCAAAATGTGGCCCTTGTTAGGTGTTGTCCCTATATGCCAAGGTTGCAGGTTCGATCCCTGGTCAGGGCACATAAAAGAATTAACCAATGAGTGCATAAATAAGTGGAACTACAAATCGATATTTCTCTCTCTCCCCCTTCTCTCTCTAAAATCAGTAATAAATAAATAAATGAATAAATGAAAGCTAAATGCAAAAATCTTTATTTGGAGGAACATATTGTTTAAAACATGTCCTGTATTCATTCATAATGCACATACATGTATCATATAAAAATATACAAACTGTGTATGGGTATATACTAATATTCTGTGTGCTTTTTATCTTTCTAATACAGATATGAGTATCATTGGGCAGATGGAACAAACATAAAGAAGCCCATTAAGTGCTCTGCACCAAAGTATATTGATTACTTGATGACTTGGGTTCAGGACCAGTTGGATGATGAGACATTATTTCCTTCAAAAATAGGTATAATTGTTTTGTATAATTGGAATTGATCATGATTTATCTAATTTTATGTTTCTAGAATTTATTTTCTCTCTATTCCAGGAACCATACTAGATTACAATATTTATCAAAATATTTCTAATCTTATACATTTAAAAACATCCTATCTTTTCATACCAGTTTATCATTATCATTAAGATAAACCTTATATTTTAATCAATGAGAAATTAGTGTACCTCAAACAGTAAGAAAATCTGGCCCATGTTATGGAAAAAAAAAAAGACTGGTTATTGGGTTGGCAGCCAATATCTGCAACAGTCATATCCATTTTTTGTTTAGGGAAGGAGCTTGTATGGCTTATATAAAGTTTTACATTATATTTGTGGCAAAGAGGGAGTTTTAATTTATGACCAATGGTGTGAATTTTACAGACTGAAATCAAACTAGGTGAGAAGAAAACATGATTTGAAGGGTTGGCTGGTTAGTTACTAACTTTTGCTTTTTCATATTAAAAAAAAAAATGATTTGAGAGAGAGAGAAGAAGGGAGAAGAGAGAGAGAAACATTGATTTGGTGTTCCACTTATTTATGCATTTATTGGTTGTTTCTTATATGTACCCTTGTATGAGTTTGCTGAGATCTGCTTAGTTTGGGTGATAATAATTACAAGAGTCCAGTAACCAGGTTTGGAGTTTGAATTTGAAACCTTTGCTTATTGGGACAACGCTCTAAGCAACTGAGCACCCCGCCAGTGCCTTTCATATTTGTTCTTAAGAGTCAGCCTTTCAAGTGGAAATTTTTCACATTTAGACAGTTCACAAGATTTTACCTTTTCAAACTTCTTACAACTGTGTTTTCTTAAAAAACTACGAATTTTTTCTTCTAGCAATAAATAACTTTTTGTCTATATTTTATGCTCTTAATTTTTGGAGAATTGGTATGGTGGAGGAGAGACAGTAATATAAATAGTTGTTATTATGGATTGTTTTAAACACGTTTATTGAATGATTTTACTGCTTTGTAGCATTTGTAATTAAAGGTCTATTTTTTAAGGTGTTTTATTTGTATATCATAATGGTTTTGGATAAGTGCCTTCAACTTATCTTTTATCTGCTATATGTATAGGGTGGGACAAAAGTAGATATATAGTTGTGAGTATGTGAAACACAGAGTTTATTCTTGTATTATTACTTATTAACTAGTGGCCCAGTGCACGAAATTTGTGCACGGGGGGGGGGTGGTTCTCTCAGCCCAGCCTGCACCCTCTCCAATTGGGCACCCCTTGGGGGATGTCCGACTGCCGGTTTAGGCCTGATAACTGGCAGTCGGACATCCCTCTTGCAATCTGGGACTGCTCGCTCCTAACTGCTCACCTGCATGCCTGATTGCTGTGTGCCCCTAACCTCTCTGCCTGCCTGCCTGATCGCCCCTAACTGCCCTTTCCTGCTGGCCTGATCTTGCCTCCAACTGCCCTCCCCTACCATCCTGATCTCGCCCCCACTTGTCCTCCCCTGCCGGTCAGTTTGGTTATGATTGGTCGGTTTCTATGCCAGCCAGTGTCTCCAGGACTGATCAGAGAGACGGGGCTGATCAACAGCCCCTCTGTGGAGGCCCAGAGAGAAACAGAGGCGGGTGTTGAGTGTTTCCTTCCACATCCCGCGTGGAGTAGGGTTCAGTATCTGAAAGAGGAGCCGCACAACAAATGAGAGAAAAAGACACGAGATAATTTTGCAATATTGGGGGACCAGGCGGCAAGTCCCAAAGGACTTCCTCCGTGCTCAGGCCTCACCAAGCTTTTATTGATCTGGGATGCACCCATAGCATAGCCCTTAGGCAGGTGACCCCCTAGTAACAAGCAGACTAGCCCATCAGCAAGGATTTACATAATAATAAATGGGGGAGTAGTTTCAGCTACCACTGTCTGGACAAACAGAGGTGGCGCCTAGCTCCGAGCTTTGCTAGGGCTTCAAAGGCACCCAGCCTTCAGGGGGGTTTCGGGGAGTTCTCTGTCTATGCTTATCAGATAGTGAAGGCAATAAACAGTTTCCCACAGGCGGGGCTGCTGGGAAAGCCTGGAGAGAAAGAGAGAGGCAAGGGCTGATCAACAGCTGCCACGGAGGCTGTGGATCAGACCCTGCCTCTCTCTGTGGGCCTCTCTCTGGGCCTGATCCGCAGCCCCCTCGGGAGTCAGTGCTAGGTCGCCATGGCAACCTACCACTGACTGCAGGACTGACTTCCAGTGTTTGACCTCCAGTCGGTCGTTATGGGCCCTGTGTTTTTATATATTAGGATTACTGTATTATTTTCCATACGAAGAACTGTAAACCTACTTTTGCCCCACCCTGGATTTTTAATGTTTATTTTTGACTGAATTTTAAGACTTTTTTGAAAATTTTTAGAATGTTTCATATATGATGCCCCTTTATCCATTTGTGCTTCAATGTGTATTTCCTTAGAAAATCACAGCATAATTATCAAAGTCAGGAAATTAACACTGATACAATTGTTGTGTAATTTACAGATGTTATTTAGATTTTCCAAATTTTCCCAATAATATTCTTTACAATGAAAGAAAATTTTTAACAATTTTTCATGTGGTTGTCATGTTTCATTAGCCCTCTTTAATGTAGAGTATGTATACATCCGTCTTTTGTGGACTTTCATAACTGATCATTTTGAAGTGTGTAAGCATGCTATTTAGCATCCCTTTATTTTGGTTTGTGCTATGTTTCCTTGTGACTTATAATATCTATATATGTAAAAGCCTAAGAGACCAAATGACCAAACGACCAGTCGACCGGTCGCTATGATGCAGGAGCTGCCCCCTGGTGGTTAGTGCGTTCCCACAGCCCACCTCCCGTGGCCAGCTGGCCAACCTCCTGTGGTCCCTTCCCCCTGGACAGCCAATCTCCCGCGGGGATTTGCCAAAACCTGGCAGTCTGACATGCCCTGAGGGGTCCTGGATTGCCAGAGGGTGCAGGCCAGTGGACGAATCCATGCACTGGGCCTCTAGTATATAAATATATTTTAATCCTCACCTGAGAATGTTATTTTTTTGATTTTTAGAAAGGGAGAGAAACATCAGTGTCAGAGAGAAACTGATCGGTTGCTTCCCATATGCACCCCGACTGGGGATGGAACCTATGGCTTAGGTATGTGCTCTGACTAGGAATCGAACCCACAACCTTTTTGGTTTATGGGATGACGCTCCAACCAACTGAGCCACCCAGCCAGGGAATGACCAGTCATATTTTTATTTATTAAATATATTTTTATTGATTTTGAGAGAGAGAGAGAAGGGAGAGGCATAGAGATAGAAACATCGATGACAGAGAAACATCACTGATAGGCTACCTTCTGCACGCCCCCTACTGGGCATTGAGCCCACAAGGGACATGTGCCCTGACTGGGAATCGAACCAGTGACCTCTTGGTTCATGGTTCCACGCTCAATCACTGAGCCACACCGGCCAAGCCACTCTTATTTTTAAACTAGAGGCCCGGTGCGGGAATTCGTGCATGAGTGGGGTCCCTCTTGGTGGCCTTCAGGGATCTGGCCGAAACCCGCAGTCCAATGCTGCCTGCAGCCCCTGCCTGCCGCTTCCGCTCATCTTGGCCCCACTGTGCCTGCCACAGGCTCATGCCCAGTCAGTCCCGATCCATCAGGAGAGGCTCGTGCTGCAACAGCAGTGCTCGCCAGCCATGAGCCCTGTCTCTGTGCCCTCCCAAGGGGTGTGGCCTGCGGGATTGGGCTGAAACCAGCTCTCTGACATTCCCCAAGGGGTCCCGGATTGCAAGAGGGCACAGGCCAGGTTGAGGGACCCCACCGGTGCATGATTGGGCTGGGGAGGGACTTGTGAGGTTGGCCAGCCGGGGAGCGACCATGGGAGGGCTTATCCAGCCCATCTCCCTCAGTCCTGATCAGCTGAACCCCAGGAGCAAGCTAACCTACGGGTCAGAGCATCTGATTGCCAGTTTAGGCCTGCTCTTGAGGATCAGGCCTAAACCGGCAGTTGGACATCCCTCTCACAATCCGGGACTGTGGCTTCTAACTGCTCACCTGCCTTCCTGCCTGATCGCCTCTACTGGCCCCCCTGCCAGCTGATTACTCCTAACCGCCTCTGCCTGCTGGTCTGGTCGCCCCCAACTACTGCCCTGCCAGCTTGGTTGCCCCTTACTGCCCCCCTTTGCTGCCCTGGTCGCCCTTAACTGCACCCCCCTGCCGACCTGGTCACCTCCAACTGCCCCTCCCTCCGCCAGTCTGGTCACCCCTCAGTGCCCCCCTCTGCTGGCCTGGTTGCCCCTTTGCCACCCTCTTCTGGCCTGGTCGCCCCCAACTGCTCCCCCCCGGCCCCCCGGCCTGGTTGCCCCACACATCCTGTTGTTTGGTCGCCCCTCACTAAGCCCTCTGTCATCCTGGTCGCCCCCAACAGCACCACTCTGCCGGCCGGCTCGCTCCTAACTGCCCCCCCCGCCAGCCTGGTCAACCCTTACTGCCTCCCCTGCCGGCCTGGTCGCCCCATGCAGCCTGCTGCTCAGTTGTTTGGTCATCCCCCGGCTGCTGGCCTTGTCGTCCCATTCAGCCTGTTTGGTCATCCGTTCAGTCATCCGTTCGGTTGTCCGTTTGGTCATAATGGCCCTTGGCTCTTTATATGTATATAGAAGATATATAGGATGAGTTGTAGGTAAAATGATGACATTGAACCCAGTAGTACCAGTGTTTGGCTTGTGTTTTGCCAGTCTAGATTATTTAGCAAGAGTAACAAAGTATATGGAATTTTGTATTATTCTAGTTTTGTATTTGTTTAATGCTGCAAAAGTGCTTTAATTCATTGCAAGGAACCTAATTGAGCAGAGATTGCAGTTGTTTTTCAGGATAAATGTAGACCTAGAGTAGTAATGAAATAATTCCCATAGAAAAAATTTTAAAAATATATTGCAAGCATTTTAAACAAAAATGAACATGATTAATATATTATTTGTGTCTAGCATATATTTGTATAAAGAAATGATGTTACAAAATCTGAGGATCTCAGTGTGAGTTTTAGCTCCATTACCATCTTAGGCATTCATTTGTTTCATTTTAGTAAAGTGTTGGAGGCCTAAAGGGCTATACTGAAAATTAGTTCTTGTTCCATAGAAGCTTTGAAATTTATTTTCATTCATGATATGTTAAAGACTTCTGAAAAGTACAGTAGGTGTATTAAGTAGTAATTCATAAATCCTTCTTTTAAGCCTTGTTTTGGCAATTTATGTTGCCATTTGTTAACAAACTCATATTGCCTTGTTCCTGTCCCTTGTTAATAGATGGGGTTGTTTATTTATTAGGTGTCCCATTCCCGAAGAACTTCATGTCTGTGGCAAAAACTATACTCAAACGCCTCTTCAGGGTTTATGCTCACATTTATCATCAGCATTTTGACCCTGTGATCCAGCTTCAGGAGGAAGCGCATCTGAATACATCTTTCAAGCACTTTATCTTTTTTGTCCAGGTAAGTTGGATTAGGAGATCTTTTTTGTTTAGTAAATTAGTTATCTACAGAGTTCTTAGGTGAATATTGCATTCATACTGTAAGGATAAAAATTTGCCCTATTTCTCTAGTCTTCCTCTTCTGTACTTGCCATGATGATAAGAACTGGCCTTTTGTTTCTGAATTCCATTTATCTCTAAGCAGCCACATGCAAGTCATGCAAGTCTAAATAAAATGGCTCTGAGAATTCTTCCTTGGATTTGCTTCAGTTAATGGCCTAATCTGGAAGGGCCATGTAAGGAACCTGGCTAGTTTGGCAGATCTATTGATGAACTTGATCTCTTGAACTTTTTAGCATTCCTCCTACTCCTCTTAACCCTCAAATCCAGTCTACTTTGGAACTTTTTTAGCATCCTCTGTCCTAAAAATGAGCTTTGAATATCACACCTTTTTTCCTTTTTTATTTTTAAGTATTCTGAATAATTTTTAAGTTAGGTACTGTCCATTATGTCCAAAGGGAGAAATCTGTGTTACTATTCCAAAGAGGTCCATTAGTCTTTGATCTGACTCCTTTGTTGACCCCTTTTCCTTCTCTTTTTAGTTCTCAGAGAACTGGCCTTAGAGATGAGATTAAGAGGAGTGAAGATAGTCTCACCCTGCTATCACAGTTGGAGAACTAACAGCCAGGAGTGAAAAATAGATGGAAAACATAAGCTGACCAGCCTTTCTTTGGTGGAAATTGAGAGGGGTTTATGGTAGGCAGGAGAAGTCTAAGGCTTGGATCGGTGTTGTTTTTGTGTGTCTTTGGGTATATATACTTAAAATGCCTTCCCTGTGATCCGTCTCCACTAAAGAAAAATATGTCTGTTTTCCCCTCTATACACACTCTTCACACTGAAGGCACACATTTTGTGTCTCAGTTTTACCAAAACACATCTTAGGAGACAGTAACATACCTAAATGGTTGCTCTGAGCAATTACCTCACTCTGGTATTCCATCTACAGATACCCAGAGAAACAAAGAACATGTTATCTTAAAGTTTGCATCTGTGCTTTGGTTTAGAAAGACATGATTGCCAAAGTTCAGGTTTTAGTGGTTTAGGCAAGGATATTCCTCCACCAGAAGAGTTAGTTTTTACCTTACTGTATGATCTCAAAGTATACCATATCTCCCAACTCTTAGCAAATAGTAGGGGATAGATCATGGCATTTACTATATCTGAATCTGTTTACATCTTAGGACGCTGTGACCTGCTTAAAGGTGGGCCCATTATACAGTATCAGCCCTTGAAGGAGTAAGCCCCTGGCTTCACAATTTAGAAAATCCTACTCTGGCCCTTCTCCAGTTGTACTTCTCCCCACAGAGCGAGGAATCCACAGGGCAAGCAACATACCTACCCAGATTCCTTCTGGTGTGTACTTCTACCTCAGAATTTCCTGTCCAGATAGTCCCAAGTGTATTTCCAAGGTTTGCATAGATCTTTTCCTTGGGTCTGTTCTTTTGAGGAAAGGTCTTATCCCTGATTCGTATAGCTCTAGACCAGTGGTTCTCAACCTTCCTAATGACGCTACCCTTTAATACAGTTCCTCATGTTGTGGTGACCACCAACCATAAAATTATTTTCGTTGCTACTTCATAACTGTAATTTTGCTACTGTTATGAATCGTAATGTAAATATCTGGTATGCTGTATGTTTTCCGATGGTCGTGACCCACAGGTTGAGAACCACTGCTCTAGACCTAAGGGATAGCCAGTTGACAGCTGTTGATGAGGGTGTGTGGCATTGCTTGTGTAAGCAGACAGGGTGTCCACACTCATGCATGTGAAGCCCTTTGAAGAGCAGGATGGAGCTGGTGGTTGGGAGATCAGCAAGTTTTGCTGAGGGTCAGGGGCTGGCTCTACTTTCCAGTGCAGAATTCTGAGGAGTCTTGAGAATTCAAAATTTGAATCTGCTCTCCTGGTCACTATGAAGGTATATTTTGTCAAGGTGGAAGAACAGAACATGTTTTATTTAACAATATATTAGCTTAATGTAAAATGTATTTAGTCATGCAATATATATATATATCTATTTGTGTTCTTGGTTCAGACCCCACAGATCTTACTAGTAGTGATAGGCTTGCAGTTAAATGCCCCCTAATGCTTTTCCCCTGTATATACTGCAGTGCTTGGCACGTGATGGATGTTAATAAATAAATGAAATTAGGAGTGCAGAATGCCCCACCATGGCAGAAGATCAGAAGTATAGACAGCTTCTATTTAATATAGTTCAGGGGAAATCTATTCAGAGTTTTACTTCAGAATGACACATCTCATGATAGCTTATGGGTATGTTAGTTTATAACATAAACTATTTTAGTCTGAAACTTGCCGGAGATGTTAGATATTTTGGTCCCTACTTGGTTGACTACACTGAGTGGCCAGATTATTATGACCACCTGACGTTTATAGGCAAATTAGCTATAATTTCGCGCTGAAGTTGCTAGAGGGCCAGACCATTATAAATAGGGAAGCAGGTTGTTTACCACTACAGTAGATGTGACTTTTTTTCTGAAGATATGGGTAAACAATGAGATTTAACAGCCTTTGAATGTGGGATATATTTGAACGTGAGTGGCCAGATTATTATGACCACCTGACGTTTGTAGGCAAATTAGCCATACACTGCATCTTATGGGATATGGAAGCCGAAGGCCTGTTCCAACACCTTTGCTGTCTGCAGTTACCAAGATAAAACGTCTCCAATTCGCACAGGAACACAAGGATTGGACAGTCGAGCACTGGAAAAAAGTCATGTGGTCCGATGAATCACGTTTCCAGTTGCATCATGCAGATGGCAGAGTGAGAATTTGGCGGAAACAGCATGAAAGCATGCACCCCACATGCATGAGTACAACCTTTCAAGCTGGTAGGGGCAGTGTTATGGTTTGGGGCATGTTTTCCTGGCATGATTTGGGCCCTTTAATTCGCGTGGAACAACATCTGAATAGCACAACATACCTAAGTATCGTTGCTGATCAAGTTCATCCTATCATGTTGATGGCGTATCCAGTGGAGATGGCTTCTTCCAACAAGACAGTGTGCCATGCCATGGTGCTCGTATTGTGCAGGAGTGGTTTCAAGAACATGAGGGACACTTTACCTTGCTTAGGTGGCCCCCACAACCACCAGATCTCAATCCAATTGAGCATTTGTGGGACAAAGTTAAAAGAGCTATCAGGCAGCTGGTTCCACAACCATCAAATCTCACAGAGCTGGACAGTGCTATTCATCAGGCATGGTGTCAGATTCCTTGCATCATCTTTCAACATCTCGTGGAGTCAATGCCAAGAAGAATCATCGCAGTATTGAAGGCAAAAGGTGGCCCAACGAAGTACTGATGGGGTGGTCATAATAATCTGGCCACTCATAATAATATATATCCCATTTTCAAAGGCTGTTAAATCGCGTTGTTTACCCATATCTTAAGAAAAAAATCACTTCTACTGTTGAGGTAAACAAACTGCTTCCCTATTTATAATGGTCTGGCCCTCTAGCAACTTCAGCGCGAAATTATAGCTAATTTGCCTACAAACGTCAGGTGGTCATAATAATCTGGCCACTCAGTGTATATCTAAATGGTGCCTGGATTATACCTTTTAACAAAGAGCAGCAATTCCCAGTTATTGAGTGTTTACTTTGTGCCAAGGATTACTTGAAGTGGTAAACTTACAGTATCACATTTAGTCTCCACAATAATTTTATGAAGTAGGATTTATTTTATAATTATTACATATGTAAAACAATATCAGAAGTGGTTAAGTGATTCGTCTAAGACAGTGAGGGAATAGAAACTTAAAAAAAGAGATTTGACTTTTATTTACTTTAAAAGCTAATTTCCAATAAGTGTTAATGGAAAGCTGCTTCGGAGTGAAATGTAAATAATAAGTCTTTGCTATTTCTTCTGCCTTTATCGTGCATAGGAATTTAACCTGGTTGACAGAAGAGAACTTGCACCACTCCAAGAACTGATTGAGAAACTCACCTCAAAGGACAGATAAGGGATGTGAACTGTGCAAATTGTTCCCATGAAGTTCTGTGGAGTGTATTTGGATTTCGTTGTATTTTATTTTTGTCTCGGTTGTTTTTGTCTTAGGTTTGGGGGGCTTATTTGTGTTCTTTTTTCTTCTGAATAAATGAAACCATATTCAATTGCTATGTAAAGCCAACAACCATTCTCTATACATTTGATAGGCGTAAATTTTGTCTTAGTGGCTTTTTTTTTAACTTGGTTTTGGTTACTTGTGGAATTTTTTATAATGTTGTAGGTTGAAAGAGAATGCTTATTGATTGGGCTGCTCATGGATGGGATTCTATGTTGTGTAAATTGTGGCTGATTTTTTTAAGTCCCCAAAAGACTTATATTTTATAAGTGCCTTGGCAGGCTCACTTCTGAGGTGCAAAGCACATAGAACCAAACAGGGCTTGAAACAATAGGATTATTACCCAGAGCACTTACTGATGCATGTTTTAAAATATCTATGACAAAAGCCATAGTTTACCTGAATTGATGATCTCTAGCTTTTACTACATCGAAGAAACACAATTTGTAAAGGTGTGCATGTAGAGCATAAAAAAATTAGTATTTCTTAATTATTTTTCATATTGATGGTAATTCTGTTCAACAGATGCTTAAAGTTCCACAAGCAGGTCTTTTTCCATCTCTTTACTGTGATATTGAAACTTGAGGATGTTGAAATGCAATATCTGTTGCATTTTGGCTTCTTTCTACATGTTAACTGCACTGTAGGTGTGAATATTCAGGTTTATGTACAGGTTTGCCATCTTCAGAGGTGATGCTGAACTGTGAGGTTTCTTAGCAATTGCCAAATGAGCCATAAGTCTGCAGAATCTCCTCCTACTTTGAAGAAGCTTTGATAGGAGTGTGTGTTCTGTTATAGGGGATTAGCTTGTGTAGGGAGTTAAAGATGGAATTAACTGTGGAGAGTCAAGTTCAAGAAAGTCCTGTCTTAAAACCCTTGAATAGAATGGCATGAAGATTTTAATCAATTTCGTGTAAGCATAGTCTTAGAGACTTCTTTTTAGGAATCAACTTCCATAGAGAAGTTAAAAATAAGTTATTAATTTTAGGTATAGATATTAAATAAGGAATAAAGGACTATTTGGGAACATTGACCACTTTCCAGCACTTCCATTCAGTGAATGGAGCTGGTGTTTGCCTGTCATTTTAAATGATACAGTACATTCTTTGCTTATTATAGGCTCTATTTGAAGCATTCTGACAGCTGATTTTCCACTGTGAAAGGAAATAATTTTCTTTGCAGTGATATTTAACAATGAAAGTGCTAATTCAGAGATTATTAACTTTAACATTTTAGTTTCCTTGACTTTTTAGTGAATTATTCCCATAAGTTTTGAAAATTGATTTTTAAAATAAATATTAACATTTTCACTTTACTTTTATTCTTGAGATATATTCTTTTTAGACTTTGTTTTAATTTTCTCATTTCCAGTAAAGCTATCCCTTCAGTTTGAAATATATACTCTTTTTTTTTTAGTTAGAAATATATACCCTTTTCCTTGTAGAATAGAAATCTTGCTCTGAAATTGTATAGACTAAAAATACTAAGAATCTAAAATGAAATCAGTTAGGTTTTGCTCTTAACAAGTAGAGCCATGATACAGTTTAATTACATTATAATTACAATCACTAGGAACTGCCTTTTTTCCCATTTCATTTATAGCCATCATTCTCAAGTACCAACCATAGAAATAACAGGAGAGCCTGGCAGAGATATACTGGACATTCATTGGTAATACTTAGTTAAAAATTACAGTGAGAACTAGCTGATGTCCTTAAAACAACTCTTTTAATATCCAGATCTTTTAGCAGCCATTATGGGTAGATTCAGAAGTAAAATTCGGCATCAACTGATTTTGAGTTCTATCTATTTGGGAAAATGAAGCACATAATTACTCAAGTAGTCTTCCATACTGCATTTGTCTTCATATCAACCTAGTAACAAAGAGGTTGCAATAGCCAAATGTAGAGAGTATAGTAAAAAATTGTTTTTGTTCTTTTAAGCCTTATGCAGTAATATACTGTAAAAATGGAAAAATGTTTCCATCAATGAATGTTTAGTAGTAGGACCTGCTTTCCCATTGTATGTATATAAGAGTTTGTCGTCACTGTGCCAGAATCTCAGGTGCCTGCCTCTGAGTATTCCTGTAAACAGTTATTGGAAAGTATGGAATTATGTATGTGTGTATATGGTAACAAAGTAGTGAGGTTCTCCCAGAGGCCTGGCATTGTACATGGTGTTACATGGCTATGAGTAGGAAAACATTCACCAGAGCATGTGAGAAATAACTAATTTAATAAAAAATTGCTTTGATTCGGTTAGTTCCCATGAACCCTTTATAAAATAAGGATCACATCTTGGCTTTGCAGCAGAACTTGTTTATAAATGTCTATTGAATTCTTTCCAGATCTCTTTGTTAAATTTATAAATAACCAAGATAAAGATTTCCCCCCTTTTCTTTATATGGAAGTATAAAACAGAAGTTGGTTTTCCCATCTGCTAATAAAAGCATAAAATATAAAATAGTAAGTTAACATAGTATTGTTTTCACAATGCTTTGGTTAAATATTGATATGCAGCAAGTTTTAGGAATTACTTTAAATGGTGGCATGATGGTGGTGGAGAGAATAACAGAAAGTGTGAAAATCCTTTAGTTAGCAGTAGATGGTGCTACTGGCTTTCATTTGCTGACTTGATTATTCTGTTTCCCATAAAAACCCATTGTATTAAACTGCACTGAAACAGTAAACATTTTGTTAGTTAGCTGGTAGAAGCTTTGGAAGTCAGTTTACCTTAACTTGAGAGATTTTAGATTGCTATTGCTTTTTACCTTCGTTATCTGTAAATTCTAACTGATCAGCATAAAATGTATTTGGTAGGAGATGACCTGTTTAGTGGATAACATATCACAGACTGAGTTACTGCCTATTTTTATCAGCAGAGATAAAGCACTACAATCGCTTTTATTTAGAAAATACAGATGATGTGGATATTTATATTTTACATGTAATCACCAGACTCCATTTTATGTATTAGCATTTTCCTTGCTTATGGGAAAATAGCAAAATGACAGATTTATTTTATACCTTTGTCTACCCCTCTCTGAGAGAGGTTTTGATAACCACTGAAATGGTAAAATATGTGAGATGCAATTGCTACGTTGTAGGACTTTCTTTTAAAATAAACGTTATTCCTTAAACATCCAAATGAGAGTAGATCTTCAGGGTGGTTCCTTTGGGAGCACTGCTTATTCCAGCTATGCTGCAAAGGTGTAAAGTTTTTGGAATGCTTTCAAAGAAGCCTTGAGAATCAGTGTATGACTATGCAAGATAATCTATTTCATCATTTTAGTTGCACCAAAACCTCGTTTTGGCAACTTAATTATGACTATCTCATTCACCAAACCAACTCTGCTTTGCTGTTTTCTTGGAACTAAACCATGAAGGAAGTTCAATAGAATGTACCATAGGTTCTGAAATTTGCAGAAGAGTGTGTTTTGAGCATAGGTAGCATCATATAATAATGAATTGTTTCCTGATGTCACTTCTTTGAAGTACACAGTATCATTTGGATGTATAGGTTTTATTTTTTTTAATTTAGTTTAATTGTCTTATAGTTAAGTATAATAATAAAAAAAAGTCTTTATCTTGTTTTCTATTTTTTTCCTTTCCCTGATAACTCTTGAATTCAATCTTGACTACTGTAAAATAGTTTTAAGGGATAGTAAGAAAAACATGGATCCAATATTTAAGATAGAAGTAGCCTAAGGGAAACAATAGCCTTTACCTCCATCCCTTTTTTAAAAAACCATTTTCACTCAGATGAACAATTTGAATTTAAAGACTAGAGATCATTTTACAAAGAAATTGGAATAAGTTTTATATATTAATTAGGCTGACTTTTAAGCCTACATATCACAGATAAAATATTTAAAACTATATAACCATTTCATATGTCATTTATAAATTTAAAATTATGAATGTCTTTTTAAAAGATATGGGGCCAGAAGTCTATTTCTAATTTGAAAATGAGTCTGCATACCAAGAGAAAATGTTACTTATTTAGAAACTTATCTGGGATATTAAAGAGTATGTCAATTCTTAGAAATGCTATTCTACATCTACTTTTTAAGGATCATTCCTAAAGTAATTTCAATATTAGACTTTTGTCATAATGTTAAGAAGATTCACCATAGGAATTACTGTTGTTCAGCTGCCAGTTTAATGGTATATGAGATAAATGTTTAGAGAGAAAACTCTCAAGATTGAATGAAAAAGTTTAATTTTAAGATATAATAACAATTCTGACTGCAGACAGTTTGAATTTTTAGGGTTTTCCTAATGAGCTAATCATATGGAAGAATTCATTTTGAAGGTATAAAACTGTGCTCCATGTCTGCTACTTGTAGCTAAATTGATACAGAATTGTGACAAAAGATAGTACATATTGAGTATTCTCAGTTTTGCTAGTGTGAATTTCTTTTTCTACATATAATACTACACATAGATAACTTTGGATTACAGTTCTCCAAGACAGTGGAATCACTGGCCTTTTCCAGCTCACATCCCCTTCTCCTTGGAGGTAAATTACTTCCTTTACTGCTATTGACTTTCCATATCTCCTATCCCCCCAAAACGCACCACTTGGAAAACAAACAGGTCGATTGTGCAAGTCCTCATTGTTAGTGCTTCCGAGGTACTTGCTGTCAACATGTAGGCTTCAGCTGAAGTGTTGAAAAATGCACTTACATAGGCATTCTTCTTTTTTTTGGCTGACAGCTTTCTTTAAATATGTCACTGAAGCTGAGATCATTAGTGATAAAATTAAACATTTTTGTTAATATTTAATTTCTCACATATTATTTTTATGTGTGGGTGTTTCTTACTGGTTTGCACATCTTTTCCTTTTTACTTTGTTTCTGAAATACTTAATATTATGTAGGTTTTAAAATAGATTACATTTTCATTTTAAGAATACTTTTCTCCTTAAATTGTTTTGCTGAGATAACTATTTTTAGGGGAAATAGTTTTTTAAAGCAACTAAATTGTATTTGTTATTTTTGTACATGCATAACTAGGGTGCTGAGGGTACTAATGTGGGAGGACACTTAACTTTTGTTCTAGTTGAACTTTTCTTATACATTATTACTTAAAATTATCTAGAAACAGTGTCATGAAATCTAGGTTGAGAGAGAATACAGTGTACATGAGACAGTTAAAGTCTGAATAGAAATTATTTATGGGGACAAAAGCAGAATAATACTGTCAGTGCCATCTAATGGAAACATAGGGTCAGCATTCACATTGTACAAGTATTTCAGAGGATGTGTAAAGACAGGGATTCAGCTCTACTGGAGGCAGACAATTTCTCTATTAAAGTAGCTGGGAGGGGAAAAATGATCTAAAATATGAAATGTAACATCGACGCTATGTTGTAAACTGTGCCAAGATTACTCAAATTGTAGTTATTGGTCAAAGTTTAACTGCTTTGTCATTTTTATTTTAAAAGGATACTGAATGTCAGAAAATCTGTAATATGTTTTAGTTGAGAGATGTAAATAATGTATTTACAGATTTGTATGTGATGGGATGGGAAGAAATATTTAAATTCTAGGTTTTTTTAAAGGAAGATACTGAATGTTTATTACAAAAATAAATAGTTATGTTTGGCCATGAATCCTGAGTTTGTGTTAATGTTTATTTTTGCTATCGATATGCTCACGCTGAACACATTCCTACAGAAGTATTGAAGGTATTTGGAGTATGTTAACATTTAAAATTTGTTAGGCGTTATTTTTTATAATGTTTACAACAACCCTGGAAATTAGTATCTTAGTCTTACAGATTAGGAAACTAAAGCTCAGAAATTGTATAAGTCACTAACTAGGGTGTTAAAACCCAAATATTCATTGACCTTGAAACCAACACTTTTGTTTGCTTTTTTAAAAAAGTAGTCCTCTCTTATCTTGGGTTACCCATGGTCAACTGCAGTCTGAAAATATTAAATGGAAAATTTCAGAAAGGAATGATTCACAAGTTTTAAATTGCAACCATTTTGAGTAGAATGATGAAATCTTGTGCCATCCTGCTTCATCCTACCTGGTCCTGCCCAGGTTGTGAATCATCCTTGTCCAGCGTATCCATTCTGTATGTGTTGCCAGCCCATGAGTTGCTTATTAGCTTCGTCAGTTATCAAATCAACTGTGGAGGTATGCAGTGCTTTGTGTTCAAGTAATCCTTGCTTTGCTTCATAATGGCCCCAAAGCGCAAGAGTAGTGATGCAGTTCTGGAATGTCAAAGAGAAGCCGTAAAGTATATGTATGAATAGGAAAAATCATGGTATATATAAGGTTAGATATAATTTGAGGTTTCAGGCATCGACTGAGGGCTTTGCAACATATCCCCTGTGGATAAGGTGGGACTACTGAACTCTTACCATGAGAACAGTTAGCAAAATATTTATTTTTTACCTTCCCATCAAGCTAAGATTTCATCAAATTTTGTCTTTATTATAGACCATTAAAGAATTAACACTATGCCCTGACCTGTGTGGCTCAGTTGGAGCATCATCCAGCATACTGGAAGATTGCAGGTTCGATCCCTGGTTGGGTGTCTTTCTCCTTCTCTAAAATCTATGTTTTGTTTTGGTTTTTTTTTTTTAAAAATGAACAGTATTAGAGAACCATTTTATCCTGATTTCTAAGCTCCGAAAGGAAATGTGTATTTTAGAGTATTTTCCGAGTATCATTATTTTAGAGGTATTTAGAGGCATTGTGTTTGGACTGTCAGGTTGAAAATATCTTGATGGTAATAGCCACAGATGCCCAATGTCACTAATTGGTATTTGAACAAAAGCCTGGAAGTAGAAATGTTAGTCCACGCTGATGTGGACTGTCTCCAGGTTTTTTTGTTTTGTTTTTTGTCTCCAGGTTTTAATAAAAACATCTTGTTATTCTGCACATACAGTTTGTACAAAACTTCTGTGTATAAAGAAATACTTATAAAAATTAACTACACTTTGATAGGTTCATTTGTCTCTCTTGTAGTAAATTTAAATATTTAATTGTTAAATAATATTGTCTGGAATAATGCATTTTGGTAACACAAATGTTCTAAATAATTATTCCTTTAAAGTTTAACCATGTTTAATGTTTTACACTTTCTTGTTTTAAACTGCATAATGAATACAGTGTCACATTTTTTTGATTACCTAAAGATTAACTTTACAAGCATGTTGCAAAATATAGCTTCCTTTCCTGAGGAGCTGTATAGAGCTGATGGCTGGCTCCTACACCCTGCTGGTGTGTTATTTTGACATCGCACTTCAGATGTGCTGGAAGCACCCTGACTCTCCACCTTTACTTTTATGATGGCTTCTACATCCTTCTGTTTTCTAGTCAGTAATGAGGGAAGGTTGCAGGAGAAGTTTACAACCAAGCTCATTAAGTTGATAGACATTATTTTACAAAAGTTGGGTTGGTATACACAAATGTGTAACCAGTACTTACCAATGTTCAGGGCCCATTATTTTTTTCTACCTTTGTTTTCATTTTTTGAGTTCGTTTAGAGCAGGGGTGGGCAACCTTTTTGTGAGTGCGTGCCAAAACCAGCAAAATCTCTGACTCAAAATTCTGCGTGCCAACCCTAATTTTTTGAGAACATGTTACACCTACTTGGTATCTCTTAAGGTGGATGTATGTGAAGAACCTTGAAGAAATAATAAAATTCATTCAAGCGACAAAAACACAGTATATGATGATGAAAAATACATTTATTTTTTAATGTATACATGTACACTGATAGTCCGACAGAAAACTTTATGACTCCGTTTGATATTATCAGTGGGACTTTTGCTGCTGCATCACTGATGACAGAGATTTTACATCAGGTTTATATTTCGTGACCTTCAGAGATATGCATGAGCTACTACTTTCATCCGTCAGGCTACTCCTATTATGAGACTTAACAAAATTCATCACTGAGAACCAAGATTCACAAGCGTATGTGGATGAAACCAAAACACTGGTCGGATCTAGGAAAGCAGGGAGAGTTAAGGCAGAGGCATAGAAATTGTTCTTCCCCTCTCTCATATATCCATGTCTATGGTCTTTAAGATAACTTGTTATGTAAAATTATTTATTTATCTAAGATGCACCTACACTGAATTTATCTGAAAAATAAAAGTCGATATTAAGAAAAAAATTGTAAATGGAAGATTATAAGAGAGGGTTTCGCCTGCCAACAAAAGTTACTGGTGTGCCATGTTTGGCACGCCTGCCAAGGGTTGCCCACCCCTGGTTTAGAGTTTTCTTTGTTAAACTTGTATGTCATTAGTCAAGACCCTATCTCATTCACCAACATTTCCACAGGAGAAAAGGAATTCCCAAATTGAAGGACTAGTAAAATTTCTGGCAAGAAAGTGTTAAGGTAGTAGCATGCTCATGACTGGCTGGATGCTCCAATCTCTTGTCTTTTTTAAAAAAATATATATTTTTATTGATTTTAGAGAGGAAGGAAGAGGGAGAGAGAGAGAAACATCAATGATGAGAGAGAATCGTTGATTGGCTCTCTCCTATTGGGGATTGAGCCCAGAACCTGGGCATGTGCCCTTGACTGGAATCGAACCCTGGACCCTTCAGTCCGCAGGCTGATGCTCTATCCACCCAGCCAAACCAGCTAGGGCCAATCCTGTGTCTTTTATCTGCAATTCTAAAATCTGAAAAGCTCCGAAAACAGTATTTTATTGATTCAGTGCAAACTCAACCTGATCTTAGTGTCACTGCCAAATATTAGTGTATTTAATACTTGTGCCAGAGGGTTAGGGCGGGTGACATAATGTGTATAGTATATGACTATTTCTTTTCTAAAGTCCAAAAGTTTATGAATTCTGAAACAGATCTGGCTACATTGCTTTCAGATAAGGGGTTGTGGACAAAAAATCAGGAAGGCACTTTTAAAAGTGTGCTCTGGTCTCTTCCTTGTGTTATCCACAAATTATGTAGGAAAATGGAAAATTATGCTGAACTTGGTGCCAAGAGAGCTAGGTTCTCTGTTTCCCCCATTTACTTTGTATTTTCAAGGTACACTCTTAAGCTTGAAGGAGCTCAAATTCTCAGAGCCAGAAGCTGGCAAAGTTGGATTTGAAAGCAGTCTTTAATTTTTCCGTGCTTAAACGGTTACACTTCTTTTGTGTGTGTATGTGTGTTTTATGTGTGTGGAAACCACACTTGGGGATTCTTACTCCTCAACCCCAAACATCTTTAACGGATCTATATGGACTTCAGTTCCACTTTCCTCCTGTTTGAAGGTCTCAGAGATTCACCCTGCCTTACTCCTTTCTCAGTAGCTGCCAGTACCCTTTTCATTTCATGGTTTTTTTCCCAAGCTTAGGTGTGGAATAAAACACCTAGTAGCTTTCCTAGCTTCTTTGCCGTCCTTGATGACAAGCATCCAGGCCTTTTTCATTTCAAGGATCCTGCTGCTAATCACTATGGGATAAACAAAAGTAATGCATATAAAATAATAGCATCTACACCAGCAGTTCTCAACCTGTGGGTCGCGACCCCTTTGGGGGTCAAACGACCCTTTCACAGGGGTCACCTAAATACATCCTGCATATCAGATATTTACATTACGATTCATAACAGTAGCAAAATTACAGTTATGAAGTAGCAACGAAAATAATTTTATGGTTGGGGGTCACCACAACATGAGGAACTGTATTAAAGGGTCTTGGCATTAGGAAGGTTAAGAACCACTGATCTACACTAATAAAACAGAAAGATGCAAATTAACCATCACTGTCACTCAGCCACTCTGCCACACTCACCAGCCAATCAGGAGCGAGTATGCAAATTAACCCAACTAAGATGGCGGCGGCCACAGAGCTGGAGCGAGCAGGAGGCTTGGGTTGCCCCTGATGATGGAAGAAGCCAAGCTTCCCACCTGCCCTGGCCGGCTGTGGGCTTCGCTCAAGGCTACAAAGTTTCAATTATAGAAGATAAATAAATCCCAGATACCTGCTTCCAGCCAGCCAAAAAAAGAAAAAAAGGAGAGGCTGGGAGCTTGAGTCGCTGGGGGACGTGGCCAGCCTGCAAACAGCCATCAGCCCCTCACCCAGGCTGGACAGGCACCCCAACAGGGACACCCCCCCACCCTGAAGAGGCTGTGGCCAGTCTGAAAACAGCCCTTAGCCCCTCACCCAGGCTGGCCACACCCCCATGGGGTGAGGGGTCCCCGCTGGCGGGCTTGGCCAGCCTGCAAACAGCCATCAGCCCCTCACTCAGGCTGGCCAGGCACCCAAGCGGGACCCCCACCCTGATTCGGGACACCCTTCAGGGCAAACCAATTGGCCTCCACCCATGCACCAGGCCTCTATCCTATATAATAAAAGGGTAATATGCAAACTGACCCTAACAGCAAAACAACTGGGAATGACTGGTCACTATGACACACATTGACCACCAGGGGGCAGACGCCTAATGCAGGAGCTTCCCCCTCATGGTCAGTGCGCTCCTACAGGGGGAGCTCTGCTCAGCCACAAGCCAGGCTGATGGCTGCTAGCACAGCAGTGGTGGCGGGAGCCTCTCGTTTCCTCAGTAGCGCTAAGGATATCCAACTGCAGCTTAGGCCTGCTCCGCGCTGGCAAGTGGACATCCCCTGAGGGCTCCCAGGCTGCCAGAGGGATGTCTGACTGCCAGCTTAGGCCCATTCCCCCGGGGAGCGGGCCTAAGCCAGCAGGTGGACATTCCCCGAGGGGTCCCATACTGTGAGAGGGCACAGGCTGGACTGAGGGCCCCCCCCCCCCCCATGAGTGCACAAATTTTTGTGCACCAGGCCTCTAGTCTATATTTATAAAAGCCCGGTGACCAGAAAGGCAGAACAACCAGAACGACCGGGGACTGGGGGCTATGACATGCTCTGTGGCAGCCAACCAGCCTGATCCGAGCCCCAATTGCACCCCCCAATCCCCCCGGCCGACCTGGCCCCCAGTCAGGCCCCCAACACCCAGATCAGGGGCAGGCCAGCCACCAACCACCTGCGACCCCTCCCCCCCGAGGGCCTGGCTGGGTGGGCCCCCATCAGGTTGGGCTGGCCAGACCCCTCCCATGCACAAATTTGTGCACTGGGCCTCTAGTAACAAAATAATATAGGGAAATTACAAAGAATAATTTTTGCTGTTTTTATTCTGGAGTTCCCCATGAGATCACATTTTGATTTCTGCCCTTTATTTCTGAGAATGATTCACTGTTTACCCACCTTCTTCTGAACTCCACCTTTGGATGCATTTTAAATGTGATGATAGTTGCAAAGTAAAAAAGAATAACAGGGCCATTGGTTTCTGTAGGTAATTTGAACTCAATAACTTCTAGACAGTAGTGTCTAGTTTACTACTTTTTTTTTAGTTTTTGTTTTTTTTACCATAATCAAAAAATGAGTTCCTCTGGGCATTTTTTACTCTGTATTTGCCTCCAGCTAGCTGAATGTTCTAGCAGAGTACTGCAATTGCACATAAGCACTCTGTGTTGAATTAAAAAATTCAACGTTTATTTGTTAACTATGTACCACGTATAAGGGCAGGCAAAGTTAAATAAGTTCTAGTCATGCTGAACGGAAATAGACCCAATGTGTTAACTTCTACATAGCATTGTAGAGGTGAAAAATGTTTTCCTTATTCCCTTCTAGGTTCTTTAGCTGGTCTAATAAGTAAATTGACATAAGACAGATTAATAGGAGAAAAACTAATTTTATTTAGTTTGTACAGCAGCCCCATAAAAATATGAAACTCAAAAGCTTTTTAATCTTTTAGACAAATAAACAATAAATTTGTGAAGATTTGACAAGGCAAATGATTTGGGGTTGGGTTAGTGCATTGGTGAAGAAGTAACAAAGTTTGTTAATACAGCTTGCTCTGCTCTAAATTTCCACCCCAGTTCCACTTGCTGACTTTGAACAACAGCCTCTCAGTGCCTGTTTCCTCACTGATAAATGGGGCTAATTGTGGAATCTTCAGCACTGGATTGCTAGTTAATTCATGAAAAGAGCTGGAAACTGCCTGGCTGGGTTGCCCAGCAGAACTTAGCCTGATGCTGGTACTCCAGGCTGAGAACACAGGCCAGTGTCTGAATTTTCTATTACACATTGCTTCAGCCCGACAAGTTCAAAGGTTCAAGTCCAACCAATTCTGTTGAGACGCTGTATCTCCACCAGCCCCACTGCAGAGGCGAGGTCCCCGAGCCCAGCCCGGGTGACGACAGCAGGCAACACCCTCTGCCCTTGGGCGCCGTGCAACCTTCCGCGCTCCTAGGTCTTTGCCAGTGGTACCCTCCCCTCCGGAAGCACTCACTCCCCGCTCCCCCGCAGCGTCCCCGGAAGCGGCGCGCCTGCGTCATCGCGCGCGCGGCCCCGCCCTGTGCTCTCGCGGGATTCTCCTTGCAGGTCGCGCTCAGCGGCCCCGGCCTGGGCGGGCGGGCGGGCGGGCGGGCGGGCGAACGCGGAGGGACCCGAGCTTACCTTCCAAGCTGCGGCGGGGAGAGGCGTGGCCTCCCCTCTGGGCGGGCGGCCGCCTCCGCGCGCCAAAATCAAATCGGAGACCCGCCGGCGGGAGAGCCTGTGACGAGCCGGGGTCCAGCCTGCAGGGCGGCGGAGGCGCGAGCACCTGTGTCCACTTCCCAGCCACCTGCCCGACGCGCTCGACCGCCCCCTGTGGAGGCATGGCCACCCCACCCAAGAGGAGCTGCCCCTCTCCCGCGACCAGCTCGGAGGGAACCCGCATCAAGAAAATTTCCATCGAAGGGAACATCGGTAAGGAACCCCGCGCAATGTTGGGTCCATAGAAGGGGGGGTCTCGGCGGCGGCGAAATGCGCATTTGCGGCATCTCTGCTGCTCCTCAGTGAGGACCTTCCTCCCAGGCTGGCTGTGGGGCTGCGATCTGGAATTGCCCCTTCCTGCCTTCCTGCTCTCTGCCCTCCCAGTCCCCTCCCTGCCCCGGCGGCGGCGGCCTCCCGGGCATCTGGCAGCGCTTTGGGCCGGTTTCATCCTCTTTGTTGGGACCCCACAAAGGGAAAGTTTTTCTTTTTTTGGGGGGGGGGGTGCCAGTTCTTCCGGTGCAATGACATACGTTAAATGACCCCTTTTAGGTGTAGTCTTCAGTGAGGCCTGGCAAACATAATGTCCTTCTAGTACCACCAGGATCAGGATTGAGAGCATCTCCATCACCCTGTGCCCTTTGGCAAACACTGATCTCAGTACTTGCAGGTTTTGCCTTTTCCAGACTGTGATAGAGCGGGAATCATAGTGTGTGTAGCCTTGTGTTATACTTTAAATTAGCAGAATGATTTTATACTCATCCATGTTGCTTGTCTCGGTAGTTCTTTTCTGTTGCCTAGTACTATTCCATTGCATGGTTATACCACAGTTTGTCTCTTCCCTAGTTGTGGACATGTTTCCAATTTTCAGCGATTATGAATAAAACTCATAAACATTGGCGTACAAGGAAAGAGGTTTTTAATTATCTAACAGCATGGCTTTCCTCACTAACGACCCTACATCCAAGTAAACTTTGGGCTATGATTCCAAGACCATTATGTTTCTGTTCTTTACCCAGATGGGGACAGAACACACCATTCATGCATTTTGCAAGATGCATCTGAACTTCTGGTTTTTATATATTTCCTACCACAGGAAACCTATGCCTGACATTTCCTGTTTTGAGATAATTTATTTTTTGCCTCCAAGTTATGTACTAGTCATTCATGCATACAGTGAATGGTTTTAAATTCTTACCCCATTCAAAGCACTTGAATTTTGTTTCTTGTTTCTTTAATTTTTATAAAGCAGTCAGACTTTTAAAAAACAAGGCAAGCAGATGCTTTAGCAGCATTCCAAGGAATAGAAAAAAAGCTGGACATACCCTCAAACAGGACATTTTGTTTCATTGCTCTCGTATTAAGGCACCAGTGGAAAAGATCCATATACACTTGGACCCTTGAACAACATGCATTTGAACTGTGCAGGTGAAGTTATACATGGATTTCCCCTCCAATAAATATGGTACTGTTTCTGTGGTTGGGAGTCCGTGGATGCTGAGGGCAGGCTATATGCATTGATTTACGCCATTTTTCCCCCTTAAAATTAGTGTTTTTGTTTTATTTGGGCAGATACCCAGAAGTGAAATTGTTTGGCCATATAATTACTCTATTCTTAATTTTTTGAAGAACCTCCATGTTTCCCATAGTGGTTCTACCAATATTCAACCCCATCAACAGTGCATGAGAATTCCGTTTTCTCCATAATCTCTCCAAAACTTGTCATTTGTTGTCTTTTGATAATAGCTAATCTTACAGGTGTGAGGTAATTTCTCAGCATGGCTTTAATTTGTACTTTCCTGATGATTAGTGATGTTGAGCATTTGTCATATGCTTGTTGGCCATCTGCATGTCTTCTTTGGAAAATTTTTTACTCTTTCCACTTTTAAATTGGATTGTTAGATTTTTTTTATTTTGAATTGTACAGTTCTTTATATATTTTTTTATTAACTCCTTATCATATATGTCATTTGCAAATATCTTCTCCCATTCTGTAGGTTGCCTTTTCATTTTGTTTATTTTTTTCCCGTGCAGAAGCTTTTTAGTTTGATGTAGTCCCACTTTCTTTTGTTGCCTTTGCTTTTAGTATCAAACCTATAAAATCATTGCCAAGACTGATGTCAGAAAGGTTATGGCCTATATTTTCTTCTGAGAGTTTTGTGGTTTCAGTCTTACATTCAAGTCTTCAACCCATTTTAAATTTATTTTTGTGTATGGTGTAAGATAGTCGTCCAGTATCATTCTTTGGCACATGGCTGTCCAGTTTTTCCAGCACCACTTATTAAAGAGATTGTCCTTTCCCATTGTTTATTCTTGGCTCCTCTGTCGTAAGTTAATTGACCATATATGGATTAGTTTATTTCTGGGCTCTCAACTCTGTTCCATTGATCTATGTGTTTATTTTGGTGCCAGTATCATAATGTTATAATTGTTATAGCTTTGTAATATGGTGTGAATTTTTGCCATTTTATATAGGGGATTTGAGCATTCGCAGGTTATGGTGACCTTGAGGTCCTGGAACTAAAATCTGAATAATTGCTAACACTGAACCTGCATTTCCGTAAGACAACATTTTGCTATTTAGATGGGCTTTATTCCTCACCACTTAGTCTTTCCTGACACTGAAGCTTTGCCTGTTACTCTTATTGCTTTTGCACTGTTGCTCATGTCCCCTCCAATTTGTCAGACCCAAATAAGCTATAAATGTACAAGCTGTTAATCTGTGTAGTAGAAAATAATTTGTGATTCTTCTCTTATTCCTAGAATTTGAGACTTAACTGTTCATTTTATTTTATATTATATTCATACTAGAGGCCTGGTGCACAAAAATTAGTGCACTCGGGGCGGGGGATCCGTCAGCCCGGCCTGTGCCCTCTCACAGTCTGGGAGGATGACCCTCAGGGGATGACCATCTGCTGGCTGAGGCCTGCTCCCCAGGGGATTGGGCCTAAGGTGGCAATCAGACATTCCTCTGGCAGCCCGGCAGCCCTCGGGGGATGTCCACTTGCCAGCGGGGAGCATACCTAAGCTGCAGTCGGACATCCTTAGCGCTGCTGAGGACGCAGGAGAGACTCCCACCACCACTGCTGTACTGGCAGTCATCAGCCTGGCTTGTAGCTGAGCAGAGCTCCTCCATGTGGGAGTGCACTGACCACTAGGGGGCAGCTTCTGCATTGGTGGTCAGTGTGTGTCAGTGACCAGTCATTCCCAGTTGTTCTGCTGTTAGGGTCAGTTTGCATATTACCCTTTTACTATATAGGATAGAGGCCTGGTGCACAGGTGGGGGCCAGCTGGTTTGCCCTGAATGGTGTCCTGGATCAGGGTGGGGGTCCCACTTGGGTGCCTGTCCAGCCTGGATGAGGGGCTGAGGGCTGTTTTCAGGTGGGCCCAGCCTGCAACTGAAGCTGCCAGTCTCTCTTTTTTTTCTTTTTTTATTCTGGGATTTATTTACCTTCTGTAATTGAAACTTTGTTGCAGCTCCAGCTCAGATGCCGGCTGTCTGAAAGCAGGTCTCTGGGGTTTGTTTCGCTTCTATAATTGAAACATAGTTGCATTTCTGAGCTGTTGCTTTCAGGCTCAGAGCCGGGTGCAGTAGGTGGGGAACTTTGGCTGCCTTCGTCGCCGGGGCAACCAAGCCTCATGTTCGCTTCAGCTGCATGGCTGCTGGCCGCCATCTTGGTTGGCAGTTAATTTGCATATCATCCTGATTAGCCAGTGGGAAGCGTAGCAGAGGTATGGTTAATTACCATGTTTGTCTATTATTAGATAGGACTAGAGGCCCGGTGCACAAAAATTTGTGCACTCAGGGGGGAGGAGGGGTCCCTCAGCCCAGCCTGTGCCCTCTCGCAGTCTGGGACCCCTTGGGAGATAACGACCTGCTGGCTTAGGCCTGCTCCCGGGTGGCAGAGGGCAGGCCTAATCCCTAGGTGCAGCCCCTGGTTGGGCTCAGAGCAGGGCTGATTGGGGAGTTGGGGCGCCGCTCCTTGTCATGCACAGAGCAGGATGGATCCGGAGGTTGTGATGCCACCCCCAGTCATGCTCAGGGTAGGACCAATTGGGGGGTTGGGGCACCGCCCCTGTCACACTCAAGGCAGGGTCGATGGGGAGGTTGTGGCACCACCCCCTGTCACGCACAGAGCAGGGTCGATCAGGGGGTTGGGGAGCTCCTCCCTGTCACGCACAGAGCAGGGCCCATCAGGGGGTTGGGGATCTCCCCCCTGTCACTCACAGAGCAGGGCCCATCAGGGGGTTGGGGAGCTCCCCCCTGTCACTCACAGAGTAGGGCCGATAGGGGAGTTGGGGCATCGCCCCCTGTCACACACACAGCAGGGCCGATCAGGGGGTTGGGGCGCCGTCCTCTATCACCCACAGAGCAGGGCCGATCACGGGGTTGGGGCGCCGCCACTGTCACACTCAGGGCAGGGCCGATGGGGAGGTTATGGCTCTACCCCATCACAGACAGAGCAGGGCCTGTGGCGGGGGGGGAGGGGGGGGTGTTGGGGCACTGCCCTCTATCACCCACAGAGCAGGGCCGATCAGGGGGTTGGGGCGCCGCCACTGTCACACTCAGGGCAGGGCCGATGGGGAGGTTATGGCTCTACCCCGTCACACACAGAGCAGGGCCCGTGGGGGTGGGGGGTTGGGGTGCCGCACCCCGTCACACACAGAGCAGGGCCTGTGGGGTGGGGGGGTGGGGGCGCTGCACCCTGTCACACACAGAGCCGCAGGGCGATCAGGGGGTTGGGGAGCTCCCCCCTATCAGGCACAGAACAGGGCTGATCAGGTGGTTGGGGCGCCTTCCCCTGTCAGGAACAGAGCAGGGCGGATAGGGAGGTTGTGGCCCCGCCCCCTGTCACACACAGAGCCACAGGGCGATCAGGGGGTTTGGGCGCTGCCCCCTGTCACGCTGATCCCGGCGCCTGGAGGCCTCTCGGCTCCGCTGATCCCGGTGCTGGGAGGCATATTACCCTTTTACTATATAGAATAGAGGCCTGGTGCATGGGTGGGGACTGGCTGGTTTGCCCTGAAGGGTGTTCCGGATCAGGGTGGGGGTCCCCACTGGGGTGCCTGACCAGCCTGGATGAGGGGATGATGGCTGTTTGTAGCTGGTCACACCCCCTTCAGGGTGGGGGTGCCCACTGGGGTCCCTGGCCAGTCTGGGTGAGGGGCTGAGGGCTGTTTTCAGGCTGGGACTGAAGCTCCCAACTGCTCCTTTTTTTCTTTTTTTTTAAATTCTGGGCCAGCTTTAGCTCTGGCTCCAGCTCTGAGGCCTCTGCTGCTGAAAGAAGGTATCTGGTTTGTTTAGGTTCTATAATCGAAATAATGTATAACTCCAGCTCTGAGATCCCGGCTCGCTGAAAGCAGGTTTCTCGGGTTTTGTTTAGCTTCTATATTTGTTACAATGTTTCTTAAACTGCAGGCTCAGAGGCCGGCAAGGCAGGCGGGGAATGTTGGAGTCCTCCGTCATTGAAGCAAGCAAGCCTCATGTTAGTTTCAAGCTGCCTGGCTGCCGGCTGCCATCTTAGCTGGCAGTTAATTTGCATATCGCCCTGATTAGCCAATGGGAAGGGTAGCGGTCGTACACCAATTACCATGTTTCTCTTTTATTAGATAGGACTAGAGGCTCGGTGCATCAGATTTGTACACTGGGGTGGGGTGGGGTGCCCTCAGCCCAGCCTGTGCCCTCTGGCAGTCCGGGACCCGTTGTGGGGTGTCCGCCTGCAGGTTTAGGCCCGATCCCCAGGGAAATCGGGCCTAAGCTGGCAGGCAGACATCCATCTTGCAGTCTGGGGCTCTTGCATCTGGGACCCCTTGCTCCTCACTGAATGTCTGGTGATCATTTTATGTTTCACTTATTGTCCTTTTAAATACCGTACAGTCCCTATGCTTACCCTCTCCACACAAAATCTGTGGTTACCAGTGTTTTTCCCATTATTAAATCCAATAGTCATTTAATTTATCCTTAAAAGTTTTTCTCCTCAGCTGTTCTGTCTGTTACCTTATCGACGCTCCTCTTTTCCCCCCTCTATGTGTGATTTATTTATTTATTTGTATTGATTTCAGAGAGGAAGGGAGAGGGAGAGAGAAAGATAGAAACATCAGTGATGAGAGAGAATCATTGATTGGCTGCCTCCTGCATGCACCCTACTGGGTATTGATCCAGCAACCCAGGCATGTGCCCTAGACTGGAATCGAACCTGGGACCCTTCAGTCCACAGGCCGATGCTCTATCCACTGAGCCCAAACCAGCTAGGGCCCTGTGTGTGACCTTTTAAAGTTCTTCCAGTTTGTTCTTTTTTTCTATTGTCCTTTTAATGTCCTAGATTTGAATGTAGTTTTATAAGTCAAAGGTAAGTTCTTTTTGCCCTCTTTGGACCCAGTCTATAAGGAAGAGGAGGCTTTACTTATAAGCATACTAAAATTGCTTTTTATTTTTATCTGTGTGTGGGGGGGAGAGGGCAAGAGAGGGGGAGAAACGCATTATGCGTTGGAGATGTCTAATATAACCACATTTGGTGACTTAAGATAGAAAGGGTGTGATGGTCATTAGGAGTACTGTTGCACCCTATTAAATTTTATGTCAATTCTTTTCTTACTATTAAATTGAATGTATTCCTGGGTAATTTATAAATATAATGTGTTCTGATTATACCTGAATATCTCCCCCACCCAAGTATCTTCCCCACCCCAATTTCTAAGAAACTAGTGAATGATCAGATAACTTTTTTATTTTATTTTAAGGATTGGATAGAGTACACACTGCACAGAACCATGAAAATAAAGTAGAGAAAACATGGCTATGGCTTGTAGGAAGTACTTTGCAAAAAAGGTTTTATAAATTTACTAGTGGTCATTGTGCACATTGAAAGGAAATTAATTAGAAGAAATATTTTAATATCGCCATTCACCCTTTCTCTATAATAAAAATGTCAACCAAATTTACGATTCACAATGATAGATTGAAACACATGCCTGCGATTGGCGCCACCAAGAGCTTTATATGTATCACACATGCGCAAGTCAACTTAGCCTTTTATATGTATAGAATAAACTTGCTTAATTAGACCTGCTTTCTGATGTAGCCCAGTGAAGCACCCCAACTTCTCTTTCAGGTAATTACCAGCAACACAGCAGTAAATATCAACACAAAGCAGATTATTATTGTAGATCACACTGGGAGAACAAACGGTAAAATATTTAACTGCAGCAGTGTTTGACTATATTCTGCGCAGTGAGAAAACCTGAAGTCATTCTCAAGGTTCACCATTTCTTACTTCTTTTCAGGCAGGTCAAGTTTCTAAGTTTTTGAAATCTCCGTTTTCTGGCTAATGAAAAGAAAATAGGGTTCCACTGAGTCCCCCATCTACCTGCTCCAGGATTTCTGTGAGGATCAAATGAGATGAGGCACGGAAAGTGCCTCACAGACATTTGATTACAGTGTAAAATGTCTGCATCTGGCTTTGAAGCAAGTCATGTTCCTAGGCGGAAGAAACTGCAAGGAGGCTAGTTGCTACGGAGAGGAAGCCCAGTGAAGCTACATGACGTCATTACCTAAAGGGACACTTAGCATATTTGCCTTTTATATATTTAGATGATACTGTAGTGCCATATGGTAGCTACTGTCCTATAATAATATGCTACTTTCCATTCTAAAACTATAGGCATTTGATGCATCTTTACGTTGATTTTATAGTTCATTTGGTTGTTTTTAAATTAGTTTTAGGTAGGAAAGTCCTGAGTTGTTTAACAGAGAATGAAGCCAGTTTGAAAAGGAAAATTTTGAAAACGTGACAGCCTAGAAAGACTGTCACTGTAGTGATAGTTTACTTGCTTATCACAGCAGTTTCCGTGAGGAGGGTATTATTATTATCTCCGTTGTATTATGGGAAGCAGGCTCAGAGAGGCTGGTAGTTTTCCAAAATCACATACCTAATTAAGTGGAGGAAAAACCTTAACTACTTTCCACAAAGTTATCGCTCATTGCTTGGTTAAGGAAAATGAATCTAGAACTAGGATTTTTTATGTCATAACATCTTGCCTAAAATCTCACCAGGTTTTTAAATTTTCTTTTCCATGGTTTTGGTAAACAAAAAACGAATGTGTTTAATAAGAATGGACAAGGACCCTTTTAGTTTTCATTTAAAAAAAAATCTAGAGCGGAGGGGGAGCTTAAAAGGGGATAAATGGTGATAGTAGGAAATTTAACTTGGAGTGGTGAACACAATACAATATACAGATGATATATTACAGAATTGTATACCTGAAGCCTATATAATTTTATTAACCAATCTAACCCAATAAATTCAATAATTTTTAAAAAATCTAAAAAGTAAGTTTAGGAAATTAAATGTTTTTTAATGTATTTACTATTATAGTCATGTGCTGCTTCACGATGGGGATACATTATGAGAAATGTGTCGTTAGTTGAGTTTGTCTTGGTGAGAATATCATATAGTGCACTTACACAAACACAGATAGTATAGCCTAGTGCTCCTAGCCTACAAGCCTGTACAGCATATTACTGTACAAAACAACATGAGATTAAATTGATCACAAGAGAAAATGGCGCAATCAAAAGACTTAACCCTGAGATGCATGAGGCTGTTGCCAGTGTATCATAGCATATTGTTTTACAATGAAGTTTGTATTTATTCATTTATTTATGTATTTATGTATTTATTTATTTATTTATGTATTTAATCAATCAATCCTCACCTGAGGACATGCTTAGAAAAGGAAGAGGGCAAGAGAGAGAGAGAGAGAGAGAGAGAGAGAGAGAGAGAGAGAGAGAGAGAGAGACATCGATCAGCTGCTCTCTATACGTGCCCTGACCAGGAGTTGAACCGGTAACCCTTCAGTGCATAGGGTGACACTCAACCAACTGAGCCACTCCAGTGGACTGTTTTGTTTTTTTTAATAAACCAGAAGAGTAAACTCTAAAATAACTAAAAGTTATATATAGTAAATATATAAACCAGTAACATAGTTATTTGTTATCATTATCAAGTATTATGTACTTTACATAATTGTATATGCTATATTTTTATGAGTGGCAGTGCAGTAGATTTGTTTACACCAGCATGACCACAAATATATATATATATATATATAAATATAAATAAAGGGCTAATATACTAAGTGTCCGTCTGCATAATGATGTAATGTAGCAATGCCCATCTTCCTCTTCCTAGCAACTAGCCTCTTTGCAGTTTCTTCAGCCCAGGAACATGACTTGCTTCAAAGCCAGGTGCAGACATTTTACACTGTAACCAAATGTCTGAAGCGTTTCCCTGTGCCTCATCTCATTTGATCCTCACAGAAATCCTGGAGCAGGTAGATGGGGGACTCAGTGGAATCCTATTTTCTTTTTTTTAGCCGGAAAACGGAGATTTCGAAAGCTTAGAAACTTGACCTGCCTGAAAAGAAGAAATGGTGAACCTTGAGAATGACTTCAGGTTTTCTCACTGCGCAGAATATAGTCAAACACTGCTGCAGTTAAATATTTTACCGTTTGTTCTCCCAGTGTGATCTACAATAATAATCTGCTTTGTGTTGATATTTACTGCTGTGTTGCTGGTAATTACCTGAAAGAGAAGTTGGGGTGCTTCACTGGGCTACATCAGAAAGCAGGTCTAATTAAGCAAGTTTATTCTATACATATAAAAGGCTAAGTTGACTTGCGCATGTGTGATACATATAAAGCTCTTGGTGGCGCCAATCGCAGGCATGTGTTTCAATCTATCATTGTGAATTGTGAATTTGGTTGACATTTCTATTATAGAGAAAGGGTGAATGGCGATATTAAAATATTTCTTCTAATTTATTTCCTTTCACTGTGCGCAAATTTGTGCACTGGGCCATTAGTATGTGAATAATACCTTGTGCTAAAACGTTAGACATCTATGTGTCTCTAGGTGATAGGAATTTTTCAGCGTCATTATAGTCTTGAGGGAACCACCAAAATACATGTAGTTCAAATTGAGTGAAATGTTATGCTGTGCATGATTATACCTTTTGAAAAGCTGAAGACTATTTTGCCTTTTTTCCCCCCTGATAAGTTATTTTCCTCAGTTTTACTTTTCCTCTTCACAATAGCTGCAGGGAAGTCAACATTTGTGAATATCCTTAAACAAGTCTGCCAGGATTGTGAAGTGGTTCCTGAACCTATTGCCAGATGGTGCAATGTTCAAAGTACTCAAGATGAATTTCAGGTATGAAAATAAAATTTAACTAAGTAAAATAAAAACCGTTTGGCTTAGAGAAGCAATAGTATTTAATCTCTTGGGTGTTTGCTTGTTTTTCCTTTTTCCAATAAAACTTTGAAATCTAGCTTTAAGTCTTTATGTTCATTTGGGTAGTAGTACAAGGATGTTCATCTATGTAAACATTGGACAATATGCATCTAAGATTTATGTACTTGATTATATCTAAGTAAAATTTTTAAAGTTTTCAAAAATTAATTTAAATGTTTTAAAAAATCTAATTGCAAGTTAAATTCCTTGAGTTGCTTTTACTTTTTGTTTAAAAAAACATAAGCAAACAAGAAAAACAAAACTACCCAGTAACTGAATTTTATTAGTTTATTTTTTAAGCCTTTTGTCTTAGAATGAACTGTTTAGGCTCCCATTTCTGGGTACTGTCATTTTTGCCAGACTTTCATCCTGGACACAAGTTTCAATTTCTCAGCATTATTCATTCTATGTTGTGAATGAGAAAAAGGGAATAACAGTTATATTTATTTAAAAAAATACATTTATTTTTATTGACTTTAGAGAGAAAGGGAGAGGGAGAGAGAATCATTAATGGGCTGCCTCTTGAACGCCCCCCACTGGGATTGAGCCCACAACCCGGGCATGTGCCCTGACCAGTAATTGAACCCTGGAATGATGCTCAACCACTGAGCCATGATGGCTGGGCAAATCTCATTTTTTTATAGCACAATTTTTTATTGTATGTGTATGAAGGAGAGATATCTAATTGCTAATACTTTTATTTCTGGTGAAACGAGGGTTAAAACTGAAAGCTGCATAGCTGTATAGCAGAAACCTTCACAATGGGAATGTGTTCTTAAAGCTTTGTTAGAGCTGAAGTGGAAAGAAGATTGAAAAAAAGTCTATGTTTTAGAGTTTAGCTGTTGGTATAAGGAATCTGGAAATAACTGGGACCCTTTAGTCCACAGGCTGACACTCTATCCACTGAGCCAAACCGGTTAGGGCACAAGGAGAAATTATTATTAAAATAATCTGTTGCCTGACCAGGCATGGCTCAGTGGTTGAGCATCTACCTGTGAACCAGGAGGTCACTGTTCAATTCCTAGTCAGGGCACATGCCTGGGTTTTGGGCTAGATCCCCAGTAGGGGTATGTAGGAGACAACCAATCAATGATTCTCATCATTGATATTTCTATCTTCCTCTCCCTTCCTCTCTGAAATCAATCTATCTATCTATCTATCTATCTATCTATCTATCTATCTATCTATCTATCTATCTAAAATAATCTGTAAACTTTGAGGATGTTTAATTTTGAATAACTAAAGGTATTTTCTCACATACCTATTTGCCAGGTGTAGTTAACTAGGTCTAGAACCCATTCAGTACACCCAAATCCTTAGAATACTCAGGACTAAGGCTTGAAGGGACTTCATTTCTATATGGATCAATTTTCTTTTCTGCTGGGGAAAAGCATGGTTAGCCTTTAGCAGAATTTTAAAATGGGTAAATGTGTACACTTCTTTCGTTCAACATTTTTTTATTAACATATGATATAAATAAGAAAAGTATATAAAACCTATGTACAGTTTGAAGAACAATTTTAAGGCTGCTATCTTTGTAACCATCATCCAGGTCAAGAAAGAGGACATTACTATCATTATAGACATTCTTCTCAAGTTACAATAGTTCATTCCCTAGATGAACAACTCCACTGGGATAATCACTCATAAAATAATTTTTGTGGTAATAATTTTCCTGATTTCTGAAAATAATTTGACCATAAATGAACATGTTTCTAAGAAATACAACTTAATTTTGTCTGTTTTTGAATATTATAAACAAAATCAACCGTTTACATTCTTTTTCCTCTTGTATCTTTTGCTTGGTAAGTTGGTGAAAATTGTCCATATTGTTGCATGCAGCTATAGCTTGTTCATTTTCATTGCCATATAGTATTAAATTGTATTCATATGTCACTATTTGTCCATTCTACACCTGCAATCAAATTTTGAGTGATTTCTAGCTTAGTTGCTGGAAAAACAGCTCTGCTGTGAACATGAATCCTGGGGCACAAATGCAAGATTTTCTCTAGGAATAAAATAAAATTATTAGACAGTGGGGTGTACGTAAGATGCTTGTTTTCCAAAGTGTTTTTATTAGTTTACAGTTCCCACAGTGTACTCAAGCTATTACTACTCCATATCTTTGCCAGTATTTAGTATTGTTCAGCTTCCTAATTTTTGGCATTCTGCTAAATGTTTAATATATTTTGTTTTTAATTTGTATTTTCCTGATTACTAATGAGATTGTGCTCCTTTATTTAATTAATTAATTTGTCATTTTGTTTTTTTGGATTTCTTTTGTGAAGTCCCCGTTCAGATCCTTTTGCTCATTTTCTTTTTAAATCTTCTATCTTCTTCCACCCTGCATCTTTCTTCCTAAAGTATGTCTCAGGGCCTCTTTCACTAAAGTGCCCCACTCAAGTTTGCTTATCTTTAGAAATGAGACTTGTGTTCTAAAAATGCCTTTTTACTCCCATTTCTGGGATCAACTTCAGTGCAGTTATAATCAGGTGTTAGGTAGAAAGCCAAATTAAAACTAAATGTCAAAAATAGAGACGGGATTCTTTCATTGGGGCAGTGTTAGGCTAGATTGGATTAGGTGACCTCCAGTTAAGGTCCATTTTAGTTTTAATGTCATAAGCTTCTTTTTTTTAAAAAAAGTATATTTTATTGATTTTTTTACAGAGAGGAAGGGAGAGGGAGAGAGAGTTAGAAACATCGATGATGAGAGAGAAACACCGATCAGCTGCCTCCTGCACACTCCCTACTGGGGATGTGCCCGCAACCCAGGTACATGCCCTTGACCGGAATCGAACCCAGGACCCTTCAGTCCGCAGGCTGACGCTCTATCCAGTGAGCCACACTAGTCAGGGCGTCATAAGCTTCTAACTCATGAAATATATATGACTGTTTTGTTGACACATTAAATGTCTCTGCCTCTCAGTATACCTCACATTAATCAGTTTCTGTATAACAGAAACTGATATATAAAAACCAATATGCCAAAATTTTAAAGGCTTTTTAATTTTTATTTATTTATTTTTTTAAAAATAGACATTTATTATCAAGTGAAAAATACAGGCTGTTAAAGGCTTTTTTAAAAAAAAATATTTTTATTTCCGAGAGTAAGGGGTGGGGGGTGGGGGGGAGAGAGAGAGAGAGAGAGAAACGTCAATGATGAGAGAGAATTGCCTGCCATTGATTGATTGCCTGCTTGATCTACTGGGGATCGATCGAGCCTGCAACCGGGACATGTGCCCTTGACTGGAATCAAACTCGGGACCCTTTAGTTGCTTTATTCACTGAGCCAAGCCAGCTAGGGCCAAAATGCCAAAATTTTAATTTGCAGAGAGAAATGTAATTACCAAATTCATTGAATTAGGTCAATCCAGTCTCAAAGTAGGCCCATAATTCTCAACTATTAGAAGGAACTCTTAAAAAATCTCAGTGATTTGGGGTGCTTTTAAAAATAAGCAGTTCCTTATGGATGCCTCCTGGTTAAAAATGACTGCCCTGCCCTGGCTGGGTGGCTCAGGTTGGTTGTGGGTTCGATTTCTGGTTAGGGCACATACCTAGGTTGCTGGTTCAGTCCCCAGTCGGGGTGCGTATAGGAGGCAACTGATCAATGTTTCTCACATAAGTGTCTCTCTCGCCCTCAAAACAAACACACACACCAATAATAAAAAATGACTGCCCTAGTGAATCACTGTTAGTGTTGGGCGTGTTTTGAACTCTCTGGTTGATATTGGAGAGGAAATGTTGCAAACATTGCATTCATATGCATGGGAAGACAGTTTATATTAGGAAGGTTGTCTGTTTAGAATCAGAGTCAGGGAATTAGTTATATTATCTTAATGACTGATGTCATCATACTGTGACACATTGATGTATCTGTCATCATTTTGAAAATCTTTTGGCTTCATGGACCTGATACTTGTGTTTATGGACTTGGGTATTTCTTCACATGTACTAGAGTCAAATTTCCAAACTGACCTTTCTTTAAAACTACTGTGGAGATGCTGCTATTATTATTATTATTATTATTATTATTAACATATACTTTTATCAGACTACTGCAATCCAGTCATATGTTACGATTTGATTACCTCCATTGGATTTTGGTGCTCATTCTCTGAGGATAGTTTCCTTTGGGTGTGTATTGAGAGCTACTATGTTGTTAGTCCTTTGTACTTCTGGGTGGAGTTTCAGACAGTGTGTGGGATGTTAAGGGATACCTCAACTTGGTCCAGGTTTTTGTTAGGGAATAAGAAAGGAGTCAAGAGTGTGACAGGAGTTAAAGCACAATAAATTTATTAAAGTGATAGTCTGAACTAGAGAAGTGAGAGCAGGTGACCTCATACTGAATACCTCAGTGGGGTCTGGGTGGAAGGTTTTTATTAAACGTGGGCAAGGGGGGTGTGGAATTGGATGGTCCTCTGCTTGTGACACTGGTGGGTGACTGCTGTTGCCATTCATCCTTGTCTCTTCTCAGGGAACAGGTGGTCAGTGAACGTTGTGTGTGTGATGTTCCAGCCAAGTTGAAGGAGGGTTAGAGCTTGCGGCCTTTGTTCCCTATTCTAACTTTCCTGCCTCATGAGGATAGTATTTTGGGGTACAAGATTGTAGAGTGTGAGGGTGGTGGACGAGTGTATTCCCTGTATCTGTACACTTTAAAAAAAAAAAATCCTCATCCATGGATATTTTTCACTGATTTTAAAAAGAGGAGGGGGAGAGAGAGAAATATCAATGTGAGAGAGAAACATTGATCAGTTGCTTCCTGTATGTGCCTTGACTGGGGATGAAACGGCAACCTAGGTATGTGCCCTGACTGAGAATCGAACCCGCAACCTTTTTGGTGTACTGGACAGTGCTCAACCAACTGAGCCACCCAGCTGGGCTGGATACTTTATTTTTTCTGGACCTCCACTAAACTCAAGAAAGGGGATTTCCTTTTTTCATACTGAATACCTTTTTTTTATACCCATCCCTGATCTAATCCTTCAGGTTAGAGTGTGAATCACCCATTGTCCAAATCTCAGTTTTCTTAGAATATCATCAGTAGTGAAAAGTAGACTGTCTTCAGTTTCAACCCTTTCAAGGCCAGTCCTGATTTGGATGTTCTCCATTTAATCACACTCTGGGCAGTTGGTGTAGAGCTGGAAGAATTGGGCTGTTGATACTCTTAATCTGTTCTAGTCAGAATCTAAATTTTCACTTGTTAGCTTAGCTTGGGTTTTTCTTTTTTTAAGCTTTTTTTTTTTTTTTAACCTGCCACCTAGTGGCTGTAATGTTGCTATGTATTGACAAGCTGCCACAGATATTACCAAAATAATGAGACTAAGTGCCATATAAGATGTATCTCCCTTATCTTCTCTTCCCATGTTAAGATTATCTTTAAAATATGCCATCAATGCCCTAATTGGTTTGACTAAGTAGATAGAGCATCGGCCCGTGGACTGAATGGTCCTGGGTTCGATTCTGGTCAAGGGCATGTATCTTGGTTGTGGGCTCTATCCTCAGTACGGGGTGTGCAGGAGGCAGCTGATCGATGTTTCTCTCTCATTGATGTTTCTAACTCTATCCTTCTCCCTTCCTCTCTGTAAAAATCAATAAAGTAATATTTTAAAAATACGCTCCATCTCCTTTTGAAGAAATGAGGAAATGTGTCTTATAAAATCTGGTGTCAGTACTGAAATAAATTTAACATGACCTGGTTTTTCTGTTTCATTGGATTCTTTTTCACTACAGGTAAATGCAAATGTTTTTTGATCTACTCATAGACCTTCTTTGAAGGAGTATCTGACATCCAGGAAAGGTGAAGGAAGTTTTGTTAAGAAAAAATGCATGTTAATTACTTAAAAGTTTATGAAATTATTTTAGACCTGCCAAACTTTACTAAGTAACAGTACATGATGAAAATATTCTTTGAAAACACAGATTTAACTACCTTTTCTTTTGAAGGGGAATGCTTGCAATAGTTAAAAGTACAGGAAAAGGGACATGCAAATTAGTTGTCATTAATAATCGCTGAGAAAAGGAAGGAAACACATTACTTTTGCGGCCAAAATGGAGGTCACAAAAATTATGCATTAAGGTTCTTAGAGTATTTACTTATACTTTGGACACAATCTAATAAACTTATTTTCTGATTAGAAGGGGCTGTCAAGGAAGGGACTTTAAAGAGGTTGACCACCTGACATCCAAGGAGAAAATAGAAAAACTGAAAACAGACAGGAACTAAAAAGGAATACCAATTTTGACTCATTTACTACTATTATAAGATGAAATAACAACTTGAAAAATGTATGCCTGATATTTTTATGTGTAGAATGGAAGCTTGTGCTTGATTGCTAACTTCTCTTGTGTATCCAGCAGTCAGTATTCATAAAGTTGTGAGTCTCAACAGGGAATGGTGGGGCGTATAAACTAGAGAGCATGTGTCCTACCTAGTGAAGCACATGTGACTTTGCTCTAACTGTTTTTTACCAAGAGGAAATACAGGCACAGTATTACTTTGTTTTCCTATTTTTAAAAAGAAGATAAACATCCAGCTATATTATATGAAATTATTTAGCTTTTAGATATTGACAGCTAGTTTAAATGTCTTAAGAGTTCCATTTGGGCCAAACAAATAATTTCTGACATAGGCTGTTTGTGACCTCTTGTGAAAAAGATCTAAGGAATTGGTGGTTAAGCTAGCTTTTCAAATTCTTCCAGGCTTCAGGTAACCTAAAAATACAGCGGGAAAGAGAAGAAAGAAGAGGACTTACTCATTTTGGTTTTGCTAATCATGATGCATTTATTTATCCAACTTCTCTTTATGAGCTTTTTAAAAAAATTAAAATAGGCCTATTGATCATTAACTTTGCTTTTTGTTTCTTTTTTTCAAATTTGAAACAGGAACTGACCACATCTCAGAAAAGTGGTGGGAATGTTCTTCAGATGATGTATGAGAAACCTGAGCGATGGTCTTTTACCTTCCAGACATATGCCTGCCTCAGTCGCATACGAGCTCAGCTTGCCTCTCTCAACAGCAAGATCAAAGATGCGGAGAAACCTGTATTATTTTTTGAACGATCTGTGTATAGTGACAGGTATATATAAATTACTTGTACTTATTAGGTTGGATCCTTGGCTTAGAACTGGAATTTTTTTTTTCTTTTTCTGTATCTTTGGATTGAAAGTAATAAGAGAGGTTGAGTTGGGGATTTGAGATGGAGAATGACATTTAATACTTTTAGCAGTTTCAAACTAATGGCATTAGGGAAGTTATAGTATTTGCTAGAGGCCCGATGCACAAAATTAGTGCAGGAGTAGGCCTTCCTGCCCCTGGCTGCCAGCACCAGCTTCCCTTTGGTACCCAGGACCTGGGCTTCCCTCACAGCCCTGGCTTCGTCTGGAAGGTCGTCTGGAAGGACATCCAGTCTAATTAGCATAATATACTTATTATTATAGATAATTTCTAGATTCCATGGAAACTATAGGGAATATGTAGCCATCTCATTCAAATTTGTAGAGAAATTTTTTTCCTCCAACCCTCTTAAAATTCTCATCTGCTCTGGTTAAATCTGAACTATATTCTAGACTCACTTGGAGCAAGAAGGTAAAAAATCTTTAAGGGGGCCTTGGAATTACCCTGGGTATGCAAGGATTCTTTTAATCTCTAGAGTTAGCTCAGAACAGGGGTTCTCAAACTTTTGTTCTCAGGACCCCTTTCCATTCTTAATAATTATCGAGAAGTTCAAAGATCTTTGTGTCTTATTCATATTTCTGTTATTAGAAATTAAGATTGAGAAATGGAAAAATTTAAAGTTAGCTATAAAAACTCATTATATATAAACATAAATAACATACTAGTGAAAATTACATTTTTCAAAGCAAAAAGAAATAGTGAGACGAGCATTTTACATTTCTGTGAATCTCTTTAATGCCTGATTTAATGGAGGACAGCTGGGTTCTCATTTATGGTTCTGTATTTACTCTGTTGAATATATTTTTTTGGTTGAAGTATAAAGTTATCTGGCCTCTCACACAAAACCCCTGGAAAGGTCTTGGGGTGTATCAGGGGTCCTCACACCACATTTCTGAGAACCACTGGACAATACATAATTTTCTGTATTTGGAGATACTCTATTGGGTTTTTTTTTCTGTTATCCAAGGCATTATCTGCCACAGGTTTTAGGAGAAGTTTCCATGTCCATTTGGTAGATCCATCTTCTCTTTTCTATTTCTCTGTATTTTTTGGAAAGGATTTATGTAAACTCTCTTTCAGGTATATTTTTGCATCTAATTTGTATGAATCTGAATGTATGAATGAAACAGAGTGGACAATTTATCAGGACTGGCATGACTGGATGAATAACCAATTTGGCCAAATCCTTGAACTGGATGGAATCATTTATCTTCGAGCTAGTCCAGAGGTGAGACTTAATAAACATTTGCTTGTTCCTTTGAAAATTTAAAGTAATATTTAGAAAATTTTCAGTGTTATGCAGTGAAGGCAGAATAATAAACTTCACTCTCAACCCTCTAGATTCCTACCTCCAAATTAAAAACTGAGAACTGTGTAGACAGAAGCATTCTATTTTCTCAGCAAACTAGAAACCCAGATTTGGCAGGTTGCTCTTTTAGGTTCTTGTTTGTTCTACCTCAGTTCTATTCATTATTTCTTTTTTTTTTTCTTCCTGCGGCCGTGTTGCTCTCGGTTAAAAGGGCCCTCTGCAGAGAGCCATAGGCCCCAGTTATGCGCAAGCAGCTGCTCTGGCGCTGCAGCCTGACCCCCGGCGCCACACGCAGGCGCAGCGGAGGTTCATTATTTCTTAACTTTTGCAGAGTCTCTTATCACAGCTAGATTAAGAAACTTGCTTAAGCAACTTCTAGAATATGGGTTTCATGAGGTGAGACTTTGGATATTTTAATTACTGTTGAATTTTCACTGTCTAGAATAAGGCTTGGATACACAGTAAATATTTGCTGAATGAATGGCAAAATTGATAGAGGATATCTGTCGTGGTTTTGGTTTGGAATGGTGGGTAGCAGCAGCTATAGTTGAGAAGAGACTTAGTGGAACCTTGCCATTTTTAGTTAAGGGAGTTTACTTGAAATTGTGCCTTTCATCATAGGTTGTAACATAGCTATTGTTTACATATGAAATTATGTAATGAATGCAGGAAGACCAAGTGGGATGCCTTTCATAAAACTAACCTAAATGAGAGCTTACATTTATTAAATTTCTGGTTTTGGTGCTTGCAGTCCCATTTTTCTTTGATTTTTATTTCTACTTATTCCTTGAGTCACAAAGTAGGTTCTGATGAATGTAAATGTTACGACTCCTAGCCTGAAAGAATACTGTTATATTGAAGCTCAATTTTCAAAGGAACTATGTTTTTGATTGTAAGTGATGATTTTGTTCTTCTAATATCAAGTAAACCAGAATTTAATAATAATTTTGAAATTTACTTTTATTTCTGAAAATAATTTTTTAATTATGAAAATAAATGCAAATATAGAAGAAGGAATGATGATAATTTCATTGTTAGAAACAGATAATATCTTAAAGTCTAATATAAATCTATTATTTCATTAATATTGTTTATGACATCCTTTGATTAGAGGATCATTTAATTATTTGAAAAGAGAATTTATAATAGAATTAGCAGCACAGTTTTATTCTGAATTTTTTTGCTTTTTATCAAACTTATTTTAGACAATACATTTCAAATGTGGGTGCCAAAGGTTTATAGACTTATTTTTGAAAGTGCTATTTGGTTTAGAGCCACCAAATCGTTGAAAAGTATAGGGAGGGAAAAAGGAACTATTGTTTGTTCTTAGAAGGAATAGAGATTTTTGTTAGCATGACTGAAAAGACACTAAAGAAGAAAAATTTAATGGCATCAGACAAGAATAATTGTCCCCCCCACCCTCTCTTCTTTTTTATTTTTTAATATATTTTTGTTGATTTCAGAGAAGAAGAGAGAGGGAGAGAGAGATTGAAACCTCAGTGATGAGAATCATTGATCAGCTGCCTCCTGCATGCTCCCCACCCCCTACTGGGGATCAAGCCTGCAAACCAGGCATGTGCCCTTGACCGAATTGAACCCGGGACCCGTCAGTCCCCAGGCCGATGCTCTACCCACTGAGCAAAACCAGCCGGGGTTACCCTCTCTTCTTATTGCTTGCTTTTAGAAATGCTTGAGTAGAATATATTTACGAGGAAGAAATGAAGAACAAGGCATTCCTCTTGAATATTTAGAGAAGCTTCACTATAAGCATGATAGCTGGCTCCTGCACAGAACACTGAAGTAAGACTTCCTTATTCTTATTTACTACTCATTTTTAATACTTCTGTCAAATTTTAAGTAAAAATGTACAATATGTCCAGTTTTTTATTTTCAAATTAGGTGTGGATTTTGATTCTTTTTATTTCAGTGAGATCCATTTCCTTAAAGTTTTTATAGCTAATTTCCCCCAGTGGTATTGACAGCATAATATAAGGAATTTCACATTAAGTGATAAAGTAGGAAATATATCTGTGTATATTATTTAGGTACTCTCTTTCAGAGAATATTTTAAAATAAAATATTTCACATTTGTTTCTTAGATCAAGACTTGGGAGGTAGTATAGCATAATTTTTAAGAGTATGTACCTTGGACAATCTCTAAGTTTCAGAGTGGTCTCCTTGAATTTTAGTTTTACCTTTAAAATGCAGACATTCTTCCTACTATCCAGTATGTTTTTGGTTTTTGAGGACTATTACATATCACAATGCCTAGCTTTATATATTATACCTGAGATTTTTAGATATGTGTACGTAAATCTAGGTGAGAAAGAAGGGGCTGTCCGATGAAGTACTTACAGAATAACTTTAATAGAAAAATGACTGACATTTTGATTTTCTGTGTTATAATAATGAGTTTTTAGTTTTTCTCTTATTTATTGCTTTTCCTAACTGTTTTATTCATCACTCTTTAAATAGAACCAACTTTGATTATCTACAAGAAGTGCCTATCTTAATATTGGATGTTAATGAAGACTTTAAAGACAAACACGACAGTCTGGTTGAAAAGGTAGATTTATACAAAGAGTATAAACTAGTATTTGCTTGGTCTTGTCTAAAAAGGTATTCTAATTTGTGAGAAAACAATTTTCTAACAGAAATGACTACATAAAGTTACATTAAGGGGCAATTAAAAGCTTTAGAGGGATTTAGACTATTTAGATTGTAATCCTAACTTGAAATTCTAGCTTTGTGGCCTTACCTAAAATAAGGAGCTTTTTAATCCTTTAGTTCCTTATCTAAGATACAGGAATATTCACAAAAGTTCTTGTTTGCTTCTCTGCTTTTTCCTCTTTCCCTATACCACCAATCTTTAGCCATTTTAATAATAAACTATTTGTTTATTTTTTCAACTAAATTCAATATGAAGAATACTTGAAATTGTAAGATACAGATCTTATTCATTTTTATGTTAGCTGAAGTCTTGAGATGAAAGGAGTTTTAGTTTTGAAATTTATTTGGACTGGGGATCGAGCCCACAACCCTGGCATGGGCCCTGACCTAGAATTGAACCGTGACCTCTCCTAGTTCATAGATCGCTGCTCAACCACTGAGCCATGCTGGCCAGGCTATTTGGGATCTTGTCAATGATGAATTGTCATTGTCTAATCATTGAGTCATTGTCTTAATCAGAGTTAATCTAGGCCCCAGATGTTTGGTATATTCTATTTAAGTGAGTGGTGCCTCTATTGATAAAGGAACTGGGAGAGAACTTATTAATGAATGCTTGAGAGAGAATAGTCATGAGAATTATATAACAAATATTTATGTATTTGTGTTAATTAAATTAGTGATCTAAGGTCTAAAGAAACCACACTTTTGTGTTCGTTTAGTTTTGAGATAAATTTGACATTTCTTTTCTCCTGTCACAAAATGTTTGCTATTTCCTAATAGGTACTTGACATTCATTAAGGGATATATTTCAAGAATTTTTAAAACCTCAACATATTAGATAACTACTATTGCAGATACTTGTTTTTTCCATCATATAAATTAAAGCATATTTGGAAAATTCAAGTGACTTCTTATTAAAAATGATATTTAAAAATATAGGATGGAATTCACTTAAATGATAACTATTAAAATAAATTAAGTCAGTCATTGAAGCACTAACAGCCAACCATCATTTTAACGGAAATGAATCTGTAAAACCATTTTTTAAAATTTTATTGTAACATTTCTGTGAAGATTGACTAGGAATCATTTTGTATTATTTATTTTTTGTCTTCATTAATAATGTTAGCAGTTGGTTTTCTTTTTGAAAATATTTTTACATGGCAATAATTGTCTGTTCAGGAGAAGTAGTCTAGAACGTGAAGAGAATAGAATCTTGTTACTGTGCTGTTGGTTAGTTGGCTAGATTCAGTCACTGCTTATATTACCTTTCCTCATACTTTAACATTAGAGTATATACAAGATTCAAATTTGTGCTTCAGAGAAATTATAGAAAATTAACTGGGGGAGGGGGAAATATTGCAAGAAAAGAAAAATTACAGATATGTTACATGTCTGAACCTTCAGAATTGTTTAAACCATTGCAGTTATTAATGTTATCAATACTAAAGCTGCACATGGATCAGTGGTCTGAGGTATTATAAAGAGATAAAATTATGATTATAAAATTAAAGATTATAAAACCAGATTATGGCTGTTATAGAACTATATCAATCTTAGGCTAAATTGAATAACTCCTTTAATTACAGTTTATGTCATTCAGCTTTTACCACTAAAGTATTTATTAATACACTAGAGCAGTGATGGCGAATCTATGACATGCATGTCAGAGGTGACACGTGAACTCATTTTTTTGGTTGATTTTTCTTTGTTAAATGGCATTTAAATACATAAAATAAATATCAAAAATATAAGTCTTTGTTTTACTATGGTTGCCAATATCAAAAAATTTCTATATGTGACACGGCACCAGAGTTAAGTTAGGGTTTTTCAAAATGCTGACACGCCGAGCTCAAAAGGTTCGCCATCACTGCACTAGAGGCTCAGTGCACAAAATTTGTGCACTTGGTGGTGGTCCCTCAGCCTGGCCTGTGTCCTCTCGCAGTTCGGGAGTGGGCCTAAGCTGTCAGTCGGACATCCTTAGCATTGCCACGGAGGTGGAAGAGGCTCCCACCACTGCCACTGTGCTCGCCAGCCGTGAGCCCGGCTTCTGGCTGAGCGGCGCTCCCCTGTGGGAGCGCACGGACCACTATGGGGAAGCTCCTGTGTTGAGTGTCTGCCCCCGGTGGTCAGCGCGCATCATAGTGATCGGTCATTCCACCATTCGGTCATTTGCATATTAGTCTTTTATTACGTAGGATAGTAGATGAGGCCTCCTAGAACCATAAGAAATGCAAAAAAATTCACTGTTAACTCATTCTGGAATTGCTCCCACTTAAAATCAAATTGCCCCCCTGTGGGGCATGTGCTGCACCTTGGGAACCACTGGGCTTGACACTTTTCCTCTCTGAGCTTCATTTCTGAATACATACACATATTCCATGGGAATTGTAATCTCTTCTCCGCCTACCTCACTGGGTTGTCATGAGGAGGTTCTGAGCTAATAAACCTAGAAATGTTTCATCAAGTAAGTGATGTCTAAACGGGAAGGGATTATTTCTAAGCTCACGGGTACCCTCGCAGGTAGCAGGTGCTGATTAGGGGAGGAGGGCATGATTGTTTCCTGGGACTGTAGCTATGGAAGCTTTGCAGAGGGTTCCGCAGTTCTCGGAGGAGTGGGCTTTGGCCAGCAGCCCTGTAGCAGTGGTTGTCCCTGGAGGTGCTGGTGGGGGGCAGGGCTTTAGGGGGGCGCTAGGGGGGGTGGTGAGGTCGAAGGGGGAGTAGCTGTCAAACCTTCCCGCTTGGCACTATTCTTTAAATTGTACGTGGCTGTTTTGCATCTGTACCTGCTCAGGGTGGTGCTCCAGTCTCCTGGAGCGGGTTGGGAGCCAGGCCAGGGCAAGCCAGGCGGGCTAGGAGGGCGGGATTAGCCGCGCCCCCAGTGAGGTTCAGCGTACTTCGGAGAGGGAGATAGCGCTGCTGCTGTGGGGGTGGGAGGGCAGGAAGCGTCTGACCCTGTGGGGGCCCCTCAGGCCTGCCTCCACCCGGGTCTGGAGTTGTAGGGAGAAGAGGCGCGCCGGCCCCACCGGAGGGGGCCTGGCAGTGGCAGGCCGTGGGCCCGGGTGCCTCGGGGGCACTGACAGGTGGTCACCGGCATGCTATTGTGGGTGCCCCTGGCGAGGGTGGCTGGGGAAGAGATCTGGAGTCAGAGGTTTGGGCTGCAGCTACCCCCGAGGCTGGGTCTTCTCTCCATCCGGTCAGCTTCCCCGTCACCCTGGGGGTGCAGGGGCTGGGGTAGAGTGTCCTTCCCCCCCGGGGGTGCAGGGGGATTGGAAGAGCTCCCCGTGGCCGCTTCCTCTTCCATCTTTGTAGTCTGGGCTCCTGTCAGGCACTCTTCTCAGACCCCTAGGAACTTGGCTTGGGCCACCTGCCCCCTGCTGCACGCATAGCCTCCTGCTGGTCTGTCAGTATGCAAATTGGTAGTTACTGGGACACTGCAACGGACAATTAGCATATTACCTCTTTATATGTATAGATCTTTTAAAGTAAATGCTATGGCTTTGTGATAGAGTTATTTATACAGGTGGGTCCTCAATTGTTATATACTTTTAAATGAAGATGAATATTACTTATCTCAAATTAGTCAAATAATTATATTAATATGTTTTTCCTCCTCTCAGGTCAAAGAATTTTTGAGCACTTTGTGATCTTGCTGAAGACTTCAGGGAGAAAAATGATTCCAGGCACTTCAGCTTTGTGTATCTTTGTAGCTTATTATTTATACAAGTCTCTTTAGAAAACCCAAGTGTTTAACCATTTTTGTTCCAAAAAAAAAATGATTTTTTATGAGTCCTATATGAAAGTTTATGACCAGCTTCTTCCCTCCCTCCCTCCCTCCCTCCCTCCCTCCCCTCCCTCCCTCCCTCCTTCCTTCCTTCCTGCCTTCCTTCCTTCTTCCTTCCTTCTTTGTATAAAAACCAGACATTTAATTATCTCTCATGGCAAGAAGTCTGGAGGTAGATGGTTCCAGAATCACTATAGTGGCTAAAGGTTCTGTATCACAAAGGACCCAGGCTTCTCTGTCTTTCCCCTGTTATCCTCCTCAGCAGGTTGGCTTTTTCCTGGTGCTTCTCATCTCATTGTTGACTAGTTTCTTAACTGGATTTCTTAACTGGAAACTTTGTTTCATAGAAAATGGTAATGTGTCTGGTGTAAATTAGCACAAAAAGTTGAAAAGTGGAATTTAAGGAATCTCTAGAAAAAGAATTGTTTTATTTTAAGTACTTTGATCCATTGCCTTCCCTTCTATCTCAATTTATGTGGAAGATAAGATCAGATGTAATATTTAATCCATTGATATTTATTAGTGTGTCTATAATATATTCATAGAGGAGCAAGTTAGACTATGTTCCCAGTTTGTAATGGCATACATCTGTACTATGGGTGAGACTTCATCTTTTTGCATGGGGTTTTGGATGATTAAAGAGGAAATGTTTCTTAAAATATAACTCATAAGCGCCCTACCTGGTTTGGCTCAGTGGATAGAGCGTCCTGCAGACTGAAGGATCCCAGGTTCGATTAAGGTCAAGGGCACATGCCCAGGTTACAGGCTTGATCCCAAATAGGGGGCATGTAGGAGGCAGCCGATCAATGATTTTCTCTCATCATTGATGTTTTAATCTCTCCCTCTCCCTCTCCCTCTCCCTTGCCCTCGCCCTCGCCCTCTCCCTCTCTGAAATCAATAAAAATATATTTTAAAAATAATAACTTATAAGTGAAGGCCCGGTGAGGTGGCTAAGTTGATTGGATGATATCCTATGCCAGTTCAATTCCTGGTTAGGGCACATGCCTGGTTTGAGGGTTCAGTCCCCAGTTGGGGCATGTGCAGAGGGAAACCAATTGATGTTTCTCTCCTTTCCTCTCTCTAAGCATGTCCTCGGGTAAGGATTTAAAAAAAAAAATTAAAAACAATTACTGAAGGTTATTACATGAGTAAATGATTCTCAGACCATTCTTTTACAATGGAATATTACTATTATAGTTAAAAAATTGGTTTAAACTATGATTATCTTTAAATAATTTGAGGTGGGAGTATAGATTTCTTTACGTTTCTTCTCTTTTTTAAAAAAAAAATGTTTTTAATTGATTTTAGGGAGAGAGGAAGGGAGAAGGAGAGAGAGAAACATGGATATGTGAGAGAGAAACATCAATCGCTGCTTCCTGCATGACCCCTACTGGGGATCAAGCTAGCAACCTGGGCATGTGCCCTGACCAGGAATTGAACCAGAGACCTTTCCATACATGGGATGATGCTCAACTAACTGAGCCACACCAGCCAGAGCTCTTCTCATTTTATAAGTAAAACATTAGTGGAACATAGTGAGAGATACATTTTTCCATTTTATTTTTTATTGACTGCACTGGGAATGAGCAGTCTTTTATTACTTTCATATAGTTTGTAAGAAGTCAAAAGAAAGCCCTGACCAGTTTGGCTCAGTGGAAAGAGCGTTGGCCTGCGGACTGAAGGGTCCCGGGTTCGATTCCAGTCAAGGGCATGTACCTTGGTTGCGGGCACATCCCCAGTAGGGGGTGTGCAGGAGGCAGCTGATTGATGTTTCTGTCACATCGATGTTTCTAACTCTCTATCCCTCTCCCTTCTTCTCTGTAAAAAAATCAATAAAATATATATATATAAAAAAAAAGAAGTCAAAAGAAAAACTGAAGACAAGGTTGATAATCTTAGGAGTGTCATCTACTTAGTCCCCCCTATTATTTCCTGCCTCATCCTGGTTTTGCTCCTGTCAGAATTAAGTAGGCAGCCTGCTATTGTAAACACACTTTCTGCTTTGAGAACATTATGATTATTCTTCACTTCATGGTTGGCTTTGCTTCTCTGTCCCCGCTCTCCCTTTTTAAAGGAAATTACTGAAAATAAATGATCTTGCTTTGCTTTATATGTTACATATCTTGTAAGCATTATCATTTTTTTGAATATGTACTGGAAAATATATTAATAAAGAAGAAAAAGGATGAAATAAGTGTAATTTAAAAAAATCTGCTTGGATTCATTTTTATTCTGTATATAATTAAAGATTTTTTCAAGTTTGGTTAAATGTGAGGTGTTTTTTCTATGTATTTACCCTTTCTACTTGACATTTTAGAAAAATTTTGTTTTTGAAGTGAGGGGAAGAGTCACTTTTATTTTGAAATTATCGTTTTCCTTTTTAAAATGTCTTCTTTTGTTTTGTTTTTTTTGAGATAATTTAGTGGGTTAAACATTCTAGATGTCCTGATCTTTGAAAGGGAAACTGCATTTTAAATCTGTAATCATACCTGGCCGGTGTGACTCAGTGGTTGAGCATTGACCTATGAATCAGGAATTCACGGTTTGATTCCCAGTCAGGGCACATCCCCAGGTTGTGAGCTTGATTTCCAGTAGTGGGTGTGCAGGAGGCAGCCGATAGAAGATTCTCTCTCATTGATGTTTCTATCCCTCTCTTCTTCTCCCTTCTCTGAAATCAATTACAAAAACAAACATTAAAAAAATCTATAATCACCCTGAGTATTTAAACTATTTCATGATGTATGTGTGTTTTTTTATTTGATATACATGTTTGTTTACTAAATTAAACATTTGCTTAATAAATAAGTGTGAATTTCATGACCTGTAATGGAGCTACACTCATTGAATTAAAGTTTATTTTACTTTGGGAATATAACCTAAGAAAGCCAAAAACATCAATCAGAGAGAATGTATATACCCCTAATGTTCATAGCAGTACAATTTACAACAGCTAAGGTCTAGAAACAGCTCAAGTGCACAGCAGAAGATGAGTGGATAAAAAAAGCTGTGGTACATTTATGCCATGGAATACTATGTAGCAATAAAAAAAGAAGGATGTCTTGCCCTTTGAGATAGCATGGAGAGACCTGGAGAGTATCATGCTTAGTGAAATAGGTCAGAGAAAGATAAGTATCACATGATCTCACTCATATTTGGAATCTAAGTAACAAAATAAACCAGTGAATGGAGTGGATCCAGAGACATGGAAGTATGGAACAGAGTGCAGAATCTAGGGGGAAGATGGGGAGGATGGGTGGGTGGGATGTAATCAACCAAAAACCTTGTATGCATATATGCATAACCCATGGACACAGACAATAGGGTGCTGAAGTCCTGGGGCGGGGGGTGCAGGGGCAGGCTGGAGGGGGTCAGTGGTGGAAAAATGGGGACATGTAATACTTTATAAAGATTAAAAAATAAAATTTATTCTACTTTGAAGAAAAACATAACTATAAAAAGGTAATAATGGCTTATAAATTACATTGATTCTATTTTAAACAAAGAGTTCAGAGATTTTCAGTAACCTTTAAAAATGTTTAATGACTTTAAATCTGTAGAATTGAAAAGAAGCTAAATTTATTTGTCATGACAAAAGCTGTACCATTGGATAAGCACAAGAGTATTGAGCTTAGTGGTCTGCATTCTCTCGGTTTTCCCATATCAGATCATCTTCCATCAGAGTATATGTACTACTTTTTATAGTTTACTCTTCTAAGAAAATTGTATAAAACTTATTCCCTCATTCAGAATTTCTCATCGTTTATGCCCCAAACTGTATACTGAGCTTATAGAAATAAGGTTTGTCATTTTTTTTAGAACAAGGAGTATCAAAGTGTTTTTTACACAGAAATGTAAATCTTATTATCACCAAAAAAAGCTAGATTAGTCGCTTACGGTATTTACAAATCTTGATAAATAATAGCCTTCCACATTTGACAGATCTTATCTTTCCTCAAAAATCTTTTTAAACTTCAAAGTAGTTTTGATTCACAAAATGTTATGAAAGTAATGGAGTTCCATCACTGATTTCCCCCCAATGATAACATTTTACTTAACCATAGTAAAATTAGTCTTAGTATCAAGACTAAGAAATTGACTTTGGTATACCATTCCATAAACTGCAGGCCTTATGTGGATTTTACCAGTCTCATCTCTTTAAAAACTTAATAGACTTTATTTAGACTTATTGACAATATATTTTATGTTCCATCTATATTGTTTATTGCAGTTTTAAGTTGATGGCAAAATTAAGTGGAAATTACAATTTCTATATAGTCTCTGCTCCTGAACTTGTACAGCATCCCCTACTATCAACATCCCTACCAGGTGGTACATTTGTTACATTCAATGAACCTACATTGATACATTATTATCACTCAAAGTCCATAATGTACATTAGAGTTTATTCAGTGTTGTACATTCTATGGGTTTTGACAAATGAATAATGACATATATTCATCATACAAAATAGTTTCATTGCCCGAAAAATCTTCAGTGTTTTGTTCATTCCCCTACTCCCAATCTCAGGCAACCACTGACCTTTAATTGTCTCCAAAGTTGTCTTTTCCAGAATGTTAGACATTTAGATCGTTTAATATGTAAACTCTTCAGATTGGCCTTTTTTCACATAGGAATTTGCATTTGGTTTCCTCCCTTTCTTTGCATGGTTTGACAGCTTATTTCTTTTTAGTGCTGAATAACAACAGCCCATTGTCAGAATGTGCCCAGTTTATCTACTCAGCTACTGACTGACAAGTGAGTTGCTTCCCAATTTTGGCAGTTATGAATAAAGCTGCTTTATATACATTTGTGTGCAAGTTTTTCTATGAATATAAGTTTTCAATTCATTTGGGTACGTAAATACCAAATAGTGCAATTGCTGGATTATATGTTGAGTATGTTTAGGTTTCTTAGAAACTGTCTTCCAAAGTAGTTGTACCATTTTGCCTTCCTACCAGCAATAAGTGAGTTCCTGCTCTTCCACTTTTGGTGGTCTCAGTGGTTTGGATTTACTCCATTCTTAATAGGTATGTGGTTGTGCCTCATTTTAATTTGCAATTCCCTAATGACATTTAAAACCATCATTTTATATGCTTATTGCCATCTGTATATCTTTGGTGAGTTGCCTGAAGGTCTGTTGTCATTTTTAAATCGGATTCATTTTCTTATTATTGAGTTTTAAAAGTTCTTTGAATATTTTTAAACAATAGCCCTTTTTCAAATGGGTCTTTTGAAAATATTTTCTTCCAGTCTGTGGGTTGTCTTGTTCATCTGACATTGTGTTTTATAGAGCAGAAGTTTTTAATTTTAATAAAGTCCAGCTTATCAATTTCTTTTATAGATTGTACCTTGTGTTGTATGTAAGAAGTCATACCCAAGGTTATCTAGATTTTCTCCCAAGTTATCTCTAGGAGTTTGATAATTATGTGTTTTTCTTTAGGCCTGTGATTTTTTATAAAGGGTGTCTGTCATTTTATAAAGGGTGTAATGTCTTTCTAGATTCATTGTTTTGCATGTGGATGTCCAGTTGTTCCAGCACTACTTATTGAAAAGACGATCATTGCTTCATTGTATTGCCTTTGCTCCTTTGTTGAATACCAGTTGACTGTGTGGGTCTATTTCTAGGCTCTATTCTCTTCGGTTGATCTATTTGTCCATTCTTTTGTCAATACCATACTGTCTGGATTACTGTCTTGAAGTTGGGTCATTTTGTGTTTCCTAGAGGCATGAGCTACCTGGTTTCGTAATACAATTGGGGCCTTTTGAGGCTATCCTAATAAGGTTGTTTTTCTGTTTTTTTTTTAGAATATATGTGTAAAATGAAATTGTTTTTTCTCATCTTCAGTTAGATGAATATTAAAAAATGGAGGCAACTTTGATATAATTCATTTTTTCTCTTATTCTGTGTAGTGCTTTGGAATGTTGTCATTAAGTATAAAATGTATTAGTACTGAGGTCAGTAATGCCATATATTTTAAATACAGACTTGCTCCATAAAAACTGTCAGTTAATAATTTTTGCCATAACATTAAAAAATATTTTTATTGATTTCAGAGAGGAAGGGAGAGGGAGAGACAGAAACATCAATGATGAGAGAGACACATCAATTGGTTGCTTCTTGCATGCGCCCCAATCAGGGGCCAAGCCTGCAACCGAGATACGTGTGCCTGACCGGAATTGAAACCAGGACCCTTCAGTTCGCAGGTCAAGGCTCTATCCACTGAACCAAGCTGGCTAGGGCTTTGCCATAACAATTTTTAAAAAGTTATATCACTTTTCAGACAATCATTTTTTCTTCTTGAATCTAAAGACTTCTTACTCCAAAGTACACTAAGCAAGTATGCAATAAAAAATTACTTTCTTAGACAAAAACATAGTCGTTTACTTGACACTTTCTATGCAGTGTCATACACTTGAATTGTGCATCAGATTATTTTGCTTTCATAATTTTGTCAACTGAGAGGAATGAAGAGGTTGCATCTTCTGGGATTTCAGTGTTATGTACAGATGCCATTTCAATGTGTTTTGAAGTTCCCTAAAGGTGTTATAACTTAATTTTAAATGCAGTTTGAATGCAAGATAGCCATTACTACCCCAAAAGGTTGGAAAATTGGTGGGGGGGAAATGGTATAGAAAGCAGAATTTACCTTCCAAAGAATGATTCCTTTATTCCTCTCCTCCATCAAACCACCCCCCTCTATCAAGTTTTCCTCCTTGGCAAGTACAGTAAACCTTTACAATATATTTTATGGACAATATTGTTTATTGCCTGTAAACTTGTTCTTAGTCAATTGATCCTGTTTTGGAGATCTTGGGATATAACATATTATAATGCACCCTATTAAAATTAATGGAAAAGGTTTTCTTTTAAAGCCTTTTACTTAGTGACAGTGCTTTCAGGGATAAATTACAAACATTAATGAGGAACAGGTATGTACTTACTCCCTTTTCCCCACCTTTTTTTTTATATTGTGGCTGTCACTATAATTGTATGTTTAATGAATTGTAATTAATAAGATATGGATGTTCTCAGATTTTTTTTTTTTATCAATGAGGATTTGGATTTGGTTCAGGGATTTCACATAAAAATTAACATCCAGTTTTGTTTTGTCAGACTTAATCAATAAATATTGAAGTATTTTAAGAGTTAAGACTATTCCCCACCTGAAAATAATACAAAATAATATTGGATACAAACTGTAATTGAAGAAAAAAACTATCCTCAAAGAAGTTTATTAGCAATGTGGCTATACTTTGAATTAATTTAATCTTAGTTCTATGCCTAGAATAAAATAGGTGCTATACCAATCAATGTCCATTGCACTAGAATAAAAGGTGATAATTGGAAGTCAAACTAGGTAACAGTGCTTTAGTTTAAGGTTTCATTTTTATGATGAGCTTAAAAATGTTTTAGTTATAGAATTATAAATACCATAACTGGGATAAAAGTTTCAGATACAAGATATAAAATTCACATAACCATATTTTAGCCTTCAAAGTCTATGGTAGAAAAAAACTTACCAACATTTTATAGATGTGAGAGGCTAAGGGATTTTTTCAAGTTCCCAAAAAATTAATAAAAATGAAACAAGTACCCAAATATTTTGACTCTAGCATGGGGGCCCCTTTTATTTTAGTGAATAGATGACTATTTTTACCTCTGCTTTTTCTTTACATCTGAGGTCATTTTTCTCTTCTTCCTTCTAGGCAGTATTTAATGTCCATTTAAAAAAGCAATTTGAAAAAAAAAAGTTCTATAATGAAAGTTATTTAAGCCCATGATTTTTTCATAGTTAAATTAGTAGTTCTAGCCCTTTGCCACATGAGGTCATTATATACTTGATTATTTTCTCTGCTCTGGCTATAATCCAAGCATCATTATTTTGATGGTGAAATGGTTGGAAAAGAATCTGATGAGAGGTTTTTCACATTGCCAGAGCAAAAGCATTAATTGATTAATCAATTATTGACATTTCATGTGTGCAGATGTGGCAAGGGTAGGGGGACAGATAAAATGAGCTGTTAGGTTAAATATAGGCCATCAAAAAGGCAGTGTTTTTAGAGTTATTTTACTACTAGAGGCCCGGTGCATGAAATTTGCATGGGCAGTGGGGAGGAGGCCTTCAGCCCAGCCTGCACCCTCTCCAATCTGGGACCCTTTGGGGGATGTCTGACCGGCAGTCAGACATCCTCTCACAATCCTGGACTGCTGGCTCCTAATCACTCACCTGCCTGCCTGGTCGCCCCCAACTGCCCCCCCCCAACTGCCCCCACCCTGATGGCCTGGTCGCTCCAAATTGCCCCCCCTCCCACCGGCCTGGTCACCCCTTACTGCCCCTCCCTGCTGGCCTGGTTGCCCCAAACTGCCCCCTGCCAGCCTAATCGCCCCCAGCTGACCCCCTGCCAGCCTGGTCTCCCCCAACTGCAACCCCCGCCGGCCTGGTCACCCCCAACTGTCCCTCTGCCAGCCTGGTCAACCCGAACTTCCCCCCTCTGCTAGCCTGGTCACCCCCAACTACCCCCCCTCCCCCCACTGGCCTGGTCGCCCCACGCAGCCTCCTGTTCAGTTGTTTGGTCGTCCCTCACTAACCCCCTGCCAGCCTAGTCGTAGGCAGCCATCTTGTGAGGGTGGGTGTGAGGGTTAATTTGCATACTACCTCTTTATTATATACAGGATAAGAAAGTCTACTGCATAACTCCCAGCTGCTTCTCTAGCTATTAGATTGAATAATTCCAATTTTGTTTTAAGGGATAAGACTTGGTTAGATAATTATGCTTAACAGGTTTGACAGGAAATTTGTTTTTTGTTTTTTTTAAAGTGGAATGCTTCATGAATTTGCATATCATCCTTGCTCAGGAGCCATGCTAATCTCTGTGTCATTCCGATTTTTAGTATATATGCTGCCGAAGGAAGCACAAAATTTGATTTTATAATGTTTACTCAGCAGACTTTAAGGGCTGTCTTGTAAGACTTTGGCATTTACTTAGCAATTATATATACAAAGGAGCTTCCAGTTATTTTTACTATTCTGTGGAACTATGTGGAGCTCTGACAGATGATTATTTGTTCAAGAAGAAAGGTTTACTTAACAAAAACATGTGACTCAGTAACAGAGGTAGGTGGAACTTGATCTTCAATTGAACCATCTTCTGAAACATTCCACCTTTGGAATTATTTATTGGCATCACTTTAAAATGGTGGGGACGCTGGTGCTTTGGCGATGTTAAATATACTTAAATGTGTATGTGTTATCCCTTGTTTAAACTAATAAGATTTAGTCAAAGGTAAAGCAACCCCTCAAGCTGCCATTCTTGTCCCTGCTGTCAGCTAGAGCAGAATCACTTTATGTTAAAGAGTAAATTAGAAAAATTGGCTCATGTTGTAAAAACAATTTATGTTACAGTTGGCTCAGCAACACGATTTTGATACGTTATACAGTGCTTAGGATACTAGCTGTCCCCAGAAACCAAGATGGCGGCATAGGTTAACGCCGGAGATTGCTGCCTCGAACAACCACTTCAAAAAACAACTAAAAGACGGAACGGACATCATCCAGAACCACAGGAAGGCTGGCTGAGTGGAAATTCTACAACTAGGAGGAAAGAGAATATCATACCCAGAGTCAGAGAAGGCACAGTGCTGAAGTGAAATACTAAGGTGCGGAGTGCACGCGGAGCGGGCTGGAGGCGGAGGGTGCGGTTGTTGTTTTCAATCGGGAGGGAGTTTCAGACTCTGAGCTCCAGATCCGGGCGAGTCTCTAGGGACCCAGACTCAAACGGGAGAAACGGGACTGTCTGGCTTCGGTTGGAACTCGAAGGCAGCTTTCTCTCTGAGGTTTGCAGCGGTTGCTGGGACTCTGTGAGGCAGAGCCCCTAGGGATGGAACTGAGAGCAGCCATAACTGCTCACTCTGGCCCGCCCTGTAGATCCCCGGGGACCCGCCCCGTCCAAGCCCTGCGCAGAGCCATTTGCCGGATAGCCTCAGGCAAAGGCTAGATTAGCACCGCCCTAGAGATCCAGTACAGAAGCTCTCCCACTGCAGACACAGCGGACTCTCATAGCCAGTTAGCCTGGAGGTCAAATCACCCCCGGTATTGCAAGAACCAACTAGAAATTAAGCATAGACGGACTGAAATAACGAATACTATACAGACTCCCAACAGCAGACCAGAGGACCGCAAGAATCAAGGCAAAGATTTGAAATGCGAAGAAGCAAAAAACACCCAACCAGAAAAGCAAAATGAAAAAAGAATCCGGAAATACGAAGATAGTGTAAGGAGCCTCTGGGACAGCTTCAAGCGTACCAACATCAGAATTATAGGGGTGCCAGAAGATGAGAGAGACCAAGATATTGAATACCTATTTGAAGAAATAATGACAGAAAACTTCCCCCACCTGGTGAAAGAAATAGACTTACAGGTCCAGGAAGCGCAGAGAACCCCAAACAAAAGGAATCCAAAGAGGACCACACCAAGACACATCATCATTAAAATGCCAAGAGCAAAAGACAAAGAGAGAATCTTAAAAGCAGCAAGAGAAAGACAGTCAGTTACCTACAAGGGAATACCCATATGACTGTCAGCTGATTTCTCAACAGAAACTTTGCAGGCCAGAAGGGAATGGCAAGAAATATTCAAAGTGATGAATACCAAGAACCTACAACCAAGATTACTTTATCCAGCAAAGCTATCATTCAGAATTGAAGGTCAGATAAAGAGCTTCACAGATAAGGAAAAGCTAAAGGAGTTCATCACCACCAAACCAGGATTATATGAAATGCTGAAAGGTATCCTTTAAGAAGAGGAAGAAGAAGAAAAAGGTAAAGATACAAATTATGAACAACAAACATGCATCTATCAACAAGTGAATCTAAGAATCAAGTGAATAAATAATCTGGTGATCATAATAGAATCAGGGACATAGAAAGGGAATGGACTGACTATTCTTTGGGGGGAAAGGGGTGTGGGAGATGCAGGAAGAGACTGGACAAAAATCGTGCACCTATGGATGAGGACAGTGGGTGGGGAGTGAGGGCGGAGGGTGGGGCGGGAACTGGGAGGAGGGGAGTTATGGGGGGAAAAAAGAGGAACAAATGTAATAATCTGAACAATAAAGATTTAATTATAAAAAAATAAAATAAAAAAATAAAATATGGCCCAACATGGCCACTGATTAATTCCCTTCTAAACCATATTTCATTGTAAAGGTTATGAATATAAATCTAAAATCTTATAATTCAATTTCCTAAATAAAATTGTTTGCTTCCAAAAAAAAAAGGATACTAGCTGTCAACTCACTGGCTTGGTAACAGAAGAGTCAATATGGACATTTTGGGATGGCTGACATGAACCAGCTGCTGGATTAGTAACTGAAATAAACCTGTTAAATATGGTAACTGACTTTTAGCAGACTGACTTTAAACAGACAATTAAGGTTTATCCTTTTCAGAATAGTTACCTTGAGAGACTACACATTTATTCCAAAGATTTTGCAATTATTTAAAAAAACTCTTGCATCTGAGTTTAGAATCTGAGTCTATATTTTAAAAATGTGATTCAGGTTCTTTTCGTGTGTGTGACTGGTATAGTGTTTTTTGAATGACCATAAATCAATTGGTGACAAGTCTGATCAACAAAATGGATAGTAAAACTTGAAAAAAACTGCTTTTGGCCACAAAATAAGGTAACAGTACAGAACTTAGATTGCTTTTCCTGTTCAGCTTATGAAATATATATGAAGGAAATTCATGTGTGTGTTTTTTACTAATTCAAATACTTTTGCTTAATGATAGACTCTAAACTGAACGTAAAATCTCTTGATACGGTTTCTTTGAAAGCACTACTAAGAATACAAGGTTCTGGTATAGTTAAAAACACCAAAACATTGTGTTCTATTATGTTTACATCTGGTATATACAGTCACTCATTGTTAAGGAATAATTTATCTTTACTATTTTTAACATCACAGAGGCAGTAGTGAATCAGAACACAGGCTTAGAAGACAGACTGCTGGCTTCAAATTCTGTCCTTGCAACTTACTGTCTAACTTTGGGCAAGTCTTTATAACCTCGGGCAAGTAATATGTTTCAGTTTCTTTATCTGTAAGAAGGGCCATAAGTTATAGTACCTACCGATAAAGTTACACAATTTTAATGTGTAGTAAATAGATGAAGCATTTGGAACAATGCTCAATAAATGTTAGCCATTACTATTAGTACTATTATTTTCTCTCAGTCAATGTACTGGTTGCTGATAGCATCTGGAAAATTAAGTTAGTGCAGTTATTAACAAGAATGAATTATGCAGAACTATAGTAGGGTGTCCACTGTATTTTTAAAGTATAAATAGTTATAGTATGATCTCTCTCCTCTCTTTTTTCTCTATCTCTGTTGTATACAGAGAGATTCACCAAACTTCATTTGGTTACTTCTAGTGAGTGGGATTGAAGTGGTGATTAAGATTCTTGGGAGAAGGGGAGTTTTACCAAACAGTCAAGGAAGAACTAAAGCTTATCCTCCTCAGACTATTCCAAAAAATTCAAGAGGAAGGAACACTTCCAAGCTCATTCTTTGAAGTCAGCATCACCCTAATACCAAAACCAGATAAAGACAACACAATGGAAGAGAATTACAGGTCAATATCCCTCATGAACATAGATGCCAAAATCCTCAACAAAATTCTAACAAATCAGATCCAGCAGTACATCGGAATGATCATACACCATGACCAAGTAGCATTTATCCCAGGGATGCAAGGATGGTACAATATCCACAAATCAATAAATGTGATACATCACATAAACAAATTGAGAGATAAAAATCACATAGTCATATCAATTGACACAGAAAAAACATTTGACAAAATCCAACACTCTTTCTTGATAAAAACTCTCAGCAAGGTGGGAATAGAAGGATCATACCTCAACGTAATAAAAGCCATTTATGACAAACCCAAAGCCAACATCATACTCAATGGGCAAAAACTAAAACCATTTCCTCTAAGAACAGGAACAAGATAGGAATGCCCACTCACACCAGTCTTGCTTGACATAGTACTGGAAATACTAGTCATTGCGATCAGACAAGAAGAAATAAAAGGCATCCAAATTGGAAAAGAAGAAGTGAAACTGTCCTTATTCACAGATGATGTGATACTGTACATAGAAAACCTTAAAGACTCCATCAAAAAATTATTAGACTTAATGAATTCGGCAATGTAGCAGGATACAAAATTAACGCCAAGAAATCTATGGCATTTCTATACACGAATAATGAACTTACAGAAAGAGAGACTAAAAAAGCAATCCCATTTACCATCGCACCAAAAAAATTAAGATACCTAGGAATAAACTTAACTAAGGAGGTAAAAGACCTATACGGGGAAAACTACAGGACACTGAAAAAAGAGATAGAGGAAGACATAAACAGATGGAAGAACATACTGTGTTCATGGATTGGTAGAATCAACATCATCAAAATGTCCATAATACCCAAAGCAACCTATAGATTCAATGCACTCCCCATTAAAATACCAACAGCATACTTCACAGATCTAGAAAGAACTCCCCAAAACTTCACCTGGAATAAAAAAGACCCCGAATAGCTGCAGTGATCCTGAAAGGAGAACAAAGTCAGTGGGATCTCAATACCAGATATCAAGCTGTATTACAAAGGCACTGTTCTCAAAACAGCCTGGTACTGGCACCAGAATAGACATATAGATCAATGGAATAGAATAGAGAACCCAGATATCGACCCAAACCACTGTGCTCAATTAATATTACACACAGGAGGCATGAACATACAATGGAGTCAAGACAATCTCTTCAATAAATGGTGTTGGGAAAATTGGACAGATACATGCACAAAATGAAACTAGACCACCAAATTACACCATACACAAAAATAAACTCAAAATG